TCTTTTTTTACTGTTCATATTTTCTATCTTCTTTTTCTTAGATAAGTCCCTTTAACATTTCACATAATAAGGGCTTGGTGATGATGAACTCCTTTAACTTGGCCTTATCTGAGAAGCACTTTATCTGCCCTTCCATTCTAAATGATACCTTTGCTGTATAGAGCAATCTTGGATGTAGGTCCTTGCCTTTCATGACTTGGAATACTTCTTTCCAGACCCTTCTTGCCTGCAAGGTCTCTTTTGAGAAATCGGCTGACATTCTGTTGGGAACTCCTTTGTAGGTAACCGTCCCCTTATCTCTTGCTGTTTCTAGAATTCTGTCCTTCATTTTTACCTTGGCTAATGTAATTATGATGTGCTTTGTTGTGTTCCTCCTTGGGTCCAACCTCTTTGGGACTCTCTGAGCTTCCTGGATTTCCTGGAAGTCTATTTCCCTTCCCATATTGGGGAAGTTCTCCTTTATTATTTGTTCAAATAACTTTTCCACTTGTTGTGTTTCCTCTCCCCCTTCTGGTACCCCTATAATTTGGATATTGGAATGTTTAAAGATGTCCTGGAGGTCCCTAAGCCTCTCCTCATTTTTTTGAATTCTTGTTTCTTCATTCTTTTCTGTTTGGTTGTTCCTTTGCTCCTTCTGGTCCCTTCCATTGATTTGAAACCCAGTTTTCTTTCCATCACTTTTGGTTCCCTGTGCATTTTCCTTCATTTCTCTTATTGTAGTCTGCATTTGTTCATCTAATTTATGACCAAAGTCCACCAATTCTGTGAGTATCCTGATCACCAGTGCTTTGAACTGTGCATCTGATAGGTTGGCTATTTCTTGGTCACTTAAAAAAATGGCCCTGGGGCTTTTAACTGTTTGAGTCATCTTTTTTATTTTTTTCCTTTGGTCTGGTCGCACCTGTTACGTATGAGGGGCGGAGCCTTAGGTGTTCACCAGGGCGGGGCACCTCAGTCGCTGGGTTGTGACGTTGTATGTGGGGGCGGGGTCTGAGAGGGAACAATGGCGCCTGCTCGGCTCTCTCTAGGACTTCAGTCCCCTTTGCCACTTCCCACAAGCAAATTGGGCCCCTCTGGTGCTGGCTCCTGGGCAGGTGAGTTTGTGTACTTTCTCGGACTCTGTGGGTCTCCCCAAGGAGCCTTCCTGTGAGGCTGAGAGAATCTCCCGGCCTCAGCTCCCACAGGTGTTTTCAGTTGGTGCCTTCAGGCCTTGTTTCTTGTGCTGGGTCCCTGGGTTGCGCGGTCTGTGTTGCTGCCTGTTTTCGCTTAGTTTGTCTGCGCTCGAATGTGAGGCTGCAGACAGCCAGCTGCTTTGCGCGCCTCCCTGGGTCTGCTTGTTGCCTCTGACACCCAGGGTCTGCCACTGGGTCCGCCAACTGGCGTCTGCCCCCTGCGCGCCCGCGTTTGCCAGGCTTTTGCCACCGCTTTTTCCTGCCAGGACCCCTCGATTCCTCTCCGTGGGCCTCCGACTCCGCCCCTCCTTACTGGTCTGGATGTATGGTATTCAGACTTCCAGTGGGTTCATTTCTCTCTGTTCTGGTTGTTTTCTTGTTTGTAAATTCTTGTTGTCCTTAGTTTTGGTTGCACGAGGAGGTATAGTGTGATCGCCTATGTCTCCATCTTGGCCGGAAGCCCGATATCTCCAATATTATTAACAAGAGTGACTATTAAGTGATATTCCATGTAATGGCCTCAGTCATTTTCATTGTACTTTGACTGTAGTTAGTTCTCAAATAGTATCTTTTGGACTATCACATAGAGTCCAGAGTCAGGATTTGAAGCGGTGCTCTCAGAAATGAATGACACCGGCCCTGTGGTGCCCGGCCCCCTCCTCCAAGTGTGTGTGTCCCCCAGTACTCCTGGGCAAGCTGAGGTGCTCGGCACGTGGCAGGCGTGTCAGCCTGGGCTCGTGCCCTGGCCCTGGCAGTGAACTCCACGGGCCTTTGGTTCCCCAGGGCTTCCCCTTGTCTAGACGCTCCACGCGGGTGGTAGAAATCTAGGTTACAGAGCACTTCTGTGAAATACGAGGGAAGTGAGGATTTGAAGGAGGATGCTTTGGCTTCTGCTGTCTCAAATGTGTGACATTTACAACACTAAATAGTTTTAATGGCTTAACTCCTAATAAAAAAAGTGACATAGGACACATTTTTGCTAGGAAGAGGAACTTGTCCTGGGAAAAGAAGTCAGTCATTTTCATGCTCACTTGTCTTTATATAGTTAGCATTATACTTCATCTACCACGTTTTAAAAACATCTGATAAACTGCTTGTCTAGCTGGCAGAAGTTGGCTTGGGTTAAGTCTGGGTCACGGATCCACAGTCTACTTCATCGGAGACCCGTGAATCTGCCTCCTTCCAAGGAGATTCACAGAGGATGTCACAAATGTCACAGAACATGCCTTAGAGTTTTTGTTTTTAAAAAAGCATTTTTAGATGAAATTTTGAATTTGTCCACACCTGAGAATCTATATGTTGGCTTCACATATGCATGACAACTATATGAAATATAGATATCTTGAATTATACCGTATTATTTTCAAAACTTCCTATTGTTGTGAAATTGCCTTCTGGTATCTGGCAGGCTAGAACTCTATGGCCAGTTTGAATTTTTGCTACATTTGTAAGTAATGCATTTTATGTTCTCGAAGATTTTCAGGGTCTTTTCTTTATTCTTCGAAATCAAAAATTGCAATAGCATACGTCAGATGCTTTCATTTTCTGTTTCTGTTTTTATTTGACCCCTTTTCATCTGTTTATAAAGCTTTTTCTGCAGTCTAGGAAAACAGAGTTAAAATGGACTGAAGTTGCCCGTGTGTGGTTATTTCCTGTGGAAGCCCCATCACAAGCAGGCAGGACCATGGGGTTCTTTCTTCTGTTCATCTTCTATTTTCCCTCCCCAGTTTGCATGTTTTGTCCTTTTCTCTTAGGTTGTGAGAACTGAGATGGGTCCTATGAGAGATTCATGACGATTCCTGGTAGGAACTGGAAGGCTGAAAGGAAGGGAGAAATACAAAAGTTTCCATTCACCCCCATGTTGCTTTGCCAGTGGCAGTTCAGACGAGCTGGGGGGCACTTGGCCCCTGGAGGTGAGAGGAAGCATCAGAGGCAGGCTCAGCCAGGAGTGTGCTTTGCTGAAGAGCTTCCATTCCTTCTTTGGAGCAGCGTCCGTGCTTTGGCAGGCTGGCTATCTCCCGTGTGGGAGAGAGTGACTCTGAGCCCTTCCGTGCCAACTCCCTGTCCTGCCGGGACTCTGAAACTCCAAACACTCCCTAATGCTGCCAAGGAGAGGCCAGCCTCACCTCCAGGGGGCCTGGGCCTCTGCCCACGTGCTTTGCATATTCCCCTGTGCCTGCTGGAGAGTCTCAAGTCAGGCGGGACTCAAATCAAATTTTCGTTATATGTTACCTGGGAATTTCTTTTGTGTGGCTGACCCTCTTGCCTACTGTTTAAGGCTGATCTAGAGTCTTCCCCTCTTTTTGATTGCTGATCACTTTCATGTGGATCTGGAAGAGAGTTTACATTTTGCCAGGAGATCAAACTGTTCCCCCTTGTAACTGCGAGCCTGAGGGTATTTTCAAGTCAGGAAGGTGGGACGAGCCTTAGCACACGGAGATTTGATAATAATGTTCAGTGTCCTGCTAGAATGGTTCTCATCCGGTTAGTTATGATTATGGTTACCAAATAACAACAATGACAATAGCGACCACAATTGCCTTTATAAAGAAACATCTCGGAAATGAGGAGATGTGGGTCAAAGAGCACAAACTTCCAGTTATGAGTCAGTTCTGGAGACCTAATATGCAGCATGGTGGCCATAGTTAGCAAGCATTACTTCTGAGTACTCAAAGTATGCAGAGTTGCTAAGAGAGTAAATCTTAAATATTCCCACCACAAAAAACTGTAATGAGGTGAGGTGATGGATGTGTTAGCTAACTGTATGGTGGTAGCCATTTCCCAATATATACATGTATCAGAGCATCTTACTGTGCACCTTAAACTTACACAATGTGATGTGTCAATTATATATCTCAAAGAAGGTGGGGAAAAAAACCAGTGGTGGGTCACATGATTAATGGGACCATATCAATATCAATGTGATTTAACATTTATAGCAACCCAGGAAATAGGGTGGCTGGCTCTCCATTTTGTAGGGGACACTCAGAGAAATTCAATAACTTGCCCGGTATTGATAGCCAATATGCTGTGATGCATCCTTCACCTTCCTGCTCTTTCTTTGCCGCTGCTGTCTGTCTGAAGTGCTGTTCTACCTCCACGTCTCTGTGGTCTTTAGTGTCCCCAGTCACTGGACTCTGGCCATCTGTTGGCATTTTGTGGCCTGCATACTCTCCGAGGGGAGTGTGCTTTATCATTTCCCTTAGACTCTCTGGAACTGCTGACTAGCATCGGGGCGGGGGGTGGTCTTGTCTCAGTGCCTTGGTGTATCCTCCACCCTCACTTGGTTTTTTTAAAGTAGGGTGCTTACCTGCTTTTAGGGAATTCTTCCTGTCTGGAGAAATAGTTTGCCTTCCTGAACACCCCTGTAGCCTTGTACGATTATTTTGGTGGTTTAGATCTGCTCGCTGTCTGGGAACACCCTTGGGCCAGAAGGCTGCTGTTCTCCCCCCGTCACTGTAAACAGAGCACCATCCGCCTCGCAGAATCTCAACCTGATGGTGGTGTTGCTGGTCACGCTCGACTGCATCCAATTAGGACAACAGTTAAAGTCAGAGAAGCGGCAAAGCCACTGATAATTCAGGGAACTAGGGAAAGATTAAAGGTAGCTGGAAAGTGTTGTGGGTGGTCATTTATTAAATGTGTGCATTTATTTTATAACTTGCTCCTCGAGAAATACTAGTCAGCTCCATCATTAGATTCTTATTTTCCTTTTCAGTATAGTGGAACAAATGAAAATATGGAATGGCTATAACATGTGTCACTAATTGTAGGATTATTCTTTGTTTACCTTTATTCTAATTGAATTATGGCTTTTCCCCCCACCAGGTTGCGGTCTTTGGTCAAACAGTTAGAGAGAGGGGAGGCTTCCGTGGTAGATCTCAAGAAGAATTTGGAATATGCGGCCACGGTGCTCGAGTCTGTGTACATCGATGAAACCAGGTAAGCTGAAGACGACGACGAGAAGTTAGCGCAGTGATGGTGAATCCCCTGTTCCCTGGCTTTTCTGAAATGCCCCAGGGCGTGAATGGGGCAGCATTCCAATGACTGGCCTTGGAGCTCCAGTCTCCACAGACAAATGGGGTAGGTTTGAGCATCAGGTGACCTCTGTACCTCCTCATCTACAAAAAGGAGCTCATGCAATACAACTTAACCTCGCATGGCCAATATAGCGATGCAGTGAGACCGGGTAAGAGGGGGAAAAGGTAGTTGTAAAAAAATCTGGTTAGGTTTTTTTCAAAATCAAATGTTGGGTTCCACGATGAATATTGCATGTTGTTAGGCTCCGTCTAAATACCGAGGTCCTGCTTTGATTCACAGTGTGTGTCTGCAAGCGGAGGGCCTGGCGGCGATGGAGAAGCATTGGTTCTCTTCAGCACCCGGTGTTCCTCCGTCAGCCCCAGTCTGTTATTGATTTTCTTAGCAGACGCTGTGTACTTGAATTATCCAAAAGTATGAAAGCACATCCAGTTACCAAGTGCATTTGAAAATGACAAAATCAATTTCCCTTTGAAAAATGTTGAACTGATGAATATGAAAGGTTTTTTTCCTCCTCCTTTTTGAAATTCAGACAGGCTCCTTTGTTGGCATTTGCACTGTCTTACATTCGTGCCCAGTTCCAGTCGGAAGGTGTTTCCCAGTAATCTAAGAATTGTGTGACTTAGTTTTTGGCTACATGCTTGGTTCCAAATTTAAGGAATTTGATACCATAGCTTTTTTCCCCAAAATGTTATACTCTCTCCCCTCCCCACAACCGATGTGTCTGAAGGAAAAAAAAATCTTTTCATTGACACCTGTTTTTACTCCTTATTTTTAGTAGGACTTAATATAAGTATAAAACACAATTTTAGGTTTTATGATCACTTAGTACTACTTATGTTCTGCTCTAGTGGTCTGACCTGTGCTGAAAAATTTTGAAAAATCAGCTCAGCACACCTGACAGGTGTCAAATCTTTGTGCTCAAATAAAGCACTGTCTGTTTCAGAAATTTTGCTTGAATTTAGATGTTTAAGTTTCTCTGATGTTCTATGAAACTAGAGAGAGGATCAGTTTGACATCATTTGGGTTGATGTGATTTGGGTAATATTGTACTTTATGGTCTATTATTCTGTTGTAAAAAATTACATTTATGGAGATAATTAGCATATGACATTGTCTAAGGCGAAGGGGGACCACGTGTTGATTTGATACATTTACACACTGCAGTGTGATTACACTGTAGCATTAGCTAACATCTCTGCACATGATAATCATTATACAGGGTCTGGCACAAATAATGCCCCCCATTTTTTATTACAAAATCTTTTATTACAAAATCATAAGCATATAATTCCGTAACATAACAATATCACACTCAAGCACACCATGTGACATTTTAGGTGAAATGTTCAAATTAAAACTATAAATTATTACACCCATATGATTACCCTACCCAACCACACTCAAGCAGGCATTACTTCCGCTGGATGCTGTATTTTTATGGTGGGAACAAGTAAAATCTAATCTCTTAGCAACTTTAATGTGTATAATACAATATTGCTGCCTATAGCAAAGTCTTTAGATGTCAATTTAAAACAAAACAAAATAATGCCACGTGGTCCATCTATGAAATAAACCTCCCTGCGAATGCATTTTTAAATGGAAGTTTTAGGTTCCATTCAAATTCCACAAACTCAGGAATGAAGATTGGGGTGCTCCCGACTGCACTGGTTCTGAGACCCACGGAACCGAGGCGGACTGCATCTGAGTCTCTCTGATTCTGTGGCTTTGTCCCGTCTGGCAGAGACGGCCGTCCTGAGACATACGCTGTGGGAACGCCATGCCTGAGAGACAGGTGGTGAGCTGTCACAAGCCTTACCAAGAAGGGGCTGCGTTTCTGTGGCCAGTTTAATGTGGTTTCTTTGAGAGAGATGGAGCAGGTGTTGGAACAGAGAGCTCGAGCTCCAGGTCCCACCTCAGTGTCCTGGGTGTGTTTCTTGTGTTCAGGCGACTCCTGGATACGGAGGATGAGCTCAGTGACATCCAGTCGGACGCGGTGCCCTCTGAGGTCCGAGACTGGCTGGCCTCCACCTTCACGCGGCAGATGGGGATGATGCTCAGGAGGAGCGAGGAGAAGCCGCGGTTCAAGACCATCGTGCACGCAGTGCAGGCCGGGATATTTGTGGAGAGGTAAAGGCAACTGTCATCTGACGGCCCAGGACTGGGAGGTTTGCTTTGATGTGGTTTTGGCATGTTTATAAGCGCTGAGAATTCTGGGTGGAGAGAGTCTTGAAGGAGACATGGCAAACACAGAGCTACCTTAGTCTCTGTAGAGCAATGGAACAAGCTTTGCCTTTGCTCTGATTCTCTGTGTTAATAGAGAAGATTTACTTGGAGTTCAGTCTCTCGTGTTTGCAGGGCATCATCTAATCCATCGCCCTTTGACATGTGCGGGTGATGCTGGCCTTGGGAACCGGTCGGGGACAGCTTGTTGACCCTGGGAGGGCAGCTCATGGAAAGGGTTTGAGTTCCCCATGAAACTTTCCAATTTGCTTTGCCATTTTTTCTTTGAAACTGAGTTATCCCCCTCTTCCCTGGAAATGGAGTCCAGAAACCAATCAGTTCTTCCTATAATCCTTATTATACAAGTGGGTTTGTTTTTCCTGTACTCCAGTACAGTGGCAGTTGTTCACTGCACAGGTTCAGTGGCAGGTTCTAGAAACACCACAGTTCCTCTTGGATGATTTCCTGCATGTTTTTGGCAGTTCTGAACAATGGTGCTCCTGAATGGCTTGCCCATAGGAGTTCTTTGTCCTAGTTTAAGTTCTACATTGAATACTGTCTGTGCTGAACTATAATTCACTGAACCGGTGACCCATTTTAATAATTTAATTTCTAATCTGAGCCACATAGATTAATTTTTTGTTTCCAACAGTTCATGTGTATGGGATTGTGTTACTTTCTTTTGAATTTCACACTTTGGCCACTGAGTGACTCTGAAAAAGGTTATAAAGGACATTTTAGATTCCTTGGGTCTCCAGATGTCACGACTTCTCATTATTTGTCAAAACTTTGTAAGTCTGTAGGCTGCTAATTCTTCTTTGTGAGGTGTAATGTCGCCTTTTCTCCCTCTCTGACTTTGCCAGAATGTACAGACGGACATCAAACATGGTTGGACTGAGCTACCCATCAGCAGTTATAGAAGCATTAAAGGTAACACCCGTGAAAAAGTCTCCCAGTGTACACGGGACTCTGTAGAAAGTATGGTTACATTTGTCCTTAAAAAATAAGAGGCTTGCACTTATAGTTCATTTAGAGATGTCCCGGTCATTCCTGACTGCTTACTTTTATTATCATTTACTTACCTGTTTTAGCCGTATCACTATCTTTCCAGCTTTCATCTTGCTAATTTCTTATTAAATTGAACTCTGTGGGTTTCATTTCTCTCTACTTCCTTGGAGTCATTTAGTGATGAGGTTTTATGAGGCTCAGTCTGACTTAAGCCAAAGAAGATCAAATCTGATCTGGTTATAAATATTCATCATCAGGAAGATCTCTGGTGATCATAATTGTACCAACATGTGATCACCTACTCCAAGTCCATTTTATAAATGGAGACTCAAATTAAAAAAAAAGAGACACAGTTAATGAGGGATGGGACTGTGGTTTGCTATCAGACTGTCAAGTACACAGTGAGCTATCAGCGACATTTTATGGCATGAATGTCTGCCCCTCAGCCCTATCCTCTCCACATACCCTGCTGTTCTCCCAAGACTCTCACTGAGCCCAGAAATTCCATTGGAAGTCACATAGACAGTTGCGTTTAAAATATAAACCCTGCAGAATTCTCCCCATCAGGCAACTTCTCGGAATTGTACAGAATATTTCTCAGAGTCCCAGAGCAGATAGATTCCTCTAGGTGTGTGTTGATTTACATCGCCTGGTCAGAGGGCACCCCAGCCATGTTGAAGCTGAGTTGGCCCCTGGATTTGCGGGTGGGGCTATGCTGAGGCCCGAGCTCACCGGGCCGGTTGATGTTGTGTAGTGTGTAGTGTGTAGTGTGTAGTGTGTAGCCGTGGAGCTGCGTCTGCCGGCTCAGGGACATCCCAGCACTCTGACTGTGGTTAAAGCCATCCTTGCCCTCCTCTGAAACCTGATGGTAGTTTCAGAACATAATTTAAATTACTCATTCATGGAATTGGGGGTGGGAGTGCTTCTTGGTCAATTTTATGTCAAGAAAAAGTCTCTTAGGGCCATTTCGATTACATATTTCATAGTTCCTTTCTCGTGTCTCAGAGACAGTCACTAGCTGAACTTGTGAGACCCTATGTATTGAGATTCTGAGTCCTCCATTTTCTATTTTTTTTAAATTTCATTGGATTTACTAGGGTGACATGGGTTGATAAAATACAGAGGCTTCACGTGTACAGTTCTGTAATATATCGGCTGTACATCATTCCCCACATGTGTTCACTGCTCAGAACCCAGCCTCCTTCCACCACCATATCTATGACCCCTTTACCTTTTTTTATCTCCTCCCCTTTCCCTCTGGTAACCACCATACTATTGTCTTTGTCTTTGAGGTTTTGTTTTTTTTCTTCTTTGTTCATTTGTTGCTTTCAGTTTTATATTCCACATATGAGAGTGAAATCATATGGTTCTTGCCTTTTCCCACCTGACTCATTTCACTTAGTATGACATTCTTCAGCTCCATCCCTGTGGTCACAAATGGCGGTATTTCATCTTTTCTTAAGGCTGGGTAGTATCCATTGTACGCATGTACCACACCTTCTTTATCCAATTGTCTATTGAAGGACACTTTGGTTGTTTCCACGTGCTAGCCACTGTGAATAATACTGCAGTGAACACAGGGGTACACATATCTTTATGAATAAATGTTTTCAAATTTTGAGGGTAGATACCCAGAAGAACGATTGTTGGGCCACATGGTAACTGTATTCTTTCTTAAGGAACCTCATACTGTTTTCCCTAGCGTCTGCCCTGATGTTCGTCCCCATCAGCAGTGTATGAGGGTTCCTTTTTCTTCATAGTCTCTCCAGCACTTGCTGGTACTCGCCTCGTTGATAATAGCCATTCGAACAGGTGAAATGCTCCTTGGCCTTGTAGCTGAGATCAAGTGTAGTATCTGTCCTTACCAATTGAATGTCTCTTCTTAACTCAGCTGCAGAATAGGAAGGATACTCAAGAAGGATACAGCAAGAAGACACGTGTTTTTTCTCCCTGCTCTCCAACCCCCACTTTAATGCCCGATGTATCAGTGATTTGCAGTGACATTTCCCACTTAATTAGTGAAAACGCTTCACCTAAGATCCGATGTTCCCTAACACCCACTAGGAAGTTGCACTGATTTTCATAATTGAACCTGAAACATTCCAGTGAACACTTAGGAACATTAAAAGCATCTTTTATTTTTAATTCCTTCCTTTATCGTGACCCTAACTGCAGGTGACTATACAGGTGCTAAGAAATTTATGAAAATGTTTTCCAAGTGGGAGCTTCCTTTCTATGCAGAACAATGGGAGGGAAGGGGAAGGGCGTGAATGAGTTGGTACTTGACGCTCAGGGAAAAGTGATGCCCAAATGCACGTCTGTCTGTCGAGGGGAAGGGGACCTCGGTGGTCCCGGCGAAGAGTAAGCACTCACTGTCTGAACCGCCGCCCCTCTGCACAAGGCTCGCTCATGGGTGCGTGGGGATAACACTGCCTTTTCCCTCGGCCCTGTCCCCTGTTCACTGGGGAGCTCAGGACCTTTTTACAACATAATCTTTTCCCACTCCCTTAGACTCCGGTTTTATTTACAGGGGATTGGAGGTGAGTTGGAGAGGTCACGCTGATAGATACTTTCTTCTTCTTCTTTTTTTAATGTAGTGCTGTTAGAAAAAGGTGGTTTTTACTTCACGGCCAGCACTTTATATGGGATTACTATTGTTGTTACAGAACATTTCCCCAAAGTCTGGGAGAATACAATTCAATAAAATAACCATCAGGCTACTACTATCACGTTAACCTTTGTGATTAATGTAACAACCTGGCTTTAAACACCATTTAAGTAAGGGAATACTTAGCCACTGCCAATCTCTAGGTTGGAAATATGTGACATTTTTGTTCTTTTTATTTTTTTGCTTTCAATAGATAACCGCTTCTAATTTGGGGTGCTTTATCTCTGGCCTTCTGAGGTGGGGCTGACGGGCATGTCAAAACGTTCTGTTCCCTAGAAGGGCGTCTGTTTGCGTGACTCGGAAGGGGCACCTGGATGGACTCCAGGTCTGAAGTGTGAGGAGATGAGGAGTGCAGGCTGCTCCTACGTCATGCTGATGGGAAGTTGTTCAGTTTCTCCACGGGGACGGTCCTCGGGCTGGCTCTGGTCAGAGAGGAAGGCTGGTTTAAACCAGTAAAACTAGGCGCTTGTTGAATGCAGATTCCAGCCCCCACACCAGGACTTTGCGGAGTCTCTCACCCACAGATCAGCAGTTTTCCTGAGCACCCCAGGGGGTTCTGAAGAATGCTCAGATTTGAGAATCACGGCCGAAGCCATCTGAACTTGACAGTCTGGAGAGAACATCCATCTTGCTCTCTATTTATGCATCCTCTTACTTCTCTAACTCCTAAGATTCCAACTAAATCTTGATTTCTTACTATGATAATCTCTCTATTTCTAGTAACAGCCTTTCCCTTTTTTATTCATTCTGGAGAACGGGATTACAAACTGTCAGACTTGACCAAGTGTGGTCCCACCTACTGAGTTGTCAGAAGGCTTTTCTTAGCTGTAATGGTCAGAGAGTGGGTGTCGTGACAATGCTAATTACTGTAGCCAAGGTGAAGCTTCAGGTCTTGGGTTCATCAAAAATGGCCCCACTGTCGATGGCCTGGGCCTATGTGGGTGTTTAGGGCCTGGGGCCTGGGTCACAGCATGTAGTCACGGAGTTTACAACATCATTCGCTGGCAGTGATGTCACTAATGGATGTCACTGGAGTTATTACCTGGTGCTGCCAGTGAATGGCATCAGACACTTCAATTCATCTCTCTGAGGTTGCCGTCTGTAAATCTGGGGAAACTCACACCTACTTCTAGAGTTGTGAGCATTTGCAAATGTGTATAAATACCTTCTACTGTGCCTGGCACAAAAAAATGTGCTCCGTACTTGCAGTTATTTCTTTAGTTGCTATAATGGAGGAGAAATTACCGCAAACTCAGCTGAGGTTACCATGGGCATGAATTGAAACCATGCGGTTTGAGACCCTTTTGGAAAAGCTTGGTTTTCCCTGCATACAATTCAGTTATCCGGTGCCCTGGCAGCCATCAGAGAGACTGCTGGTGGCCTTGGGATGATCTTGACAGTTGGGACAGTTGGAGACGGTCAGGATTGGGGCGGATGGGTGATGTTGGGATGCAGGGAGGGCTGAGGCAAGAGCCACTCCAGCCAGCAGTTCCTGGTAGTCAGTGTCTCTTCCACGACACCACCGGACGCCTTGCCTGGACGCCCCTGCCATGTGGTTTCACGTGGGTCCTTCTTGTCCGGCTCACAGATGAACTTTTTTTTTTTAACTGAAAATAAGACTCTGTCACAACGAGAAACCAAAGGACTATTGCTTTACTATTGGCTAAACACTGCTTTGTTTATACATAGCTGGTTATAAGTCAGAGACATCAGATAGTGTATATGTTTATGAGGCGTGTCCTGAAAGTACCCAGAAATGCACTATGAAAAATAGAGACAGTTATTGAAGAAGATACAAGATACAAGAAACATTGTACATAGGACAATGATGCCTCAGTCCCCTTCAAAGGAGGTACCTTGGGATCTCACACATTTCTTCCAATCTCCATCAGCTGCCCCATTGTATTTTCCTGCATGTCATTGATGGTCTGAAATCTCTTCCCTTTCAAAGGTGATTTTAGTTTTGGGAAAAGGCAGAAGTTGCAGGGTGCCAAATCTGGGCTGTAGAGGGGCTGAGTCACCTGGGTGATTTGATGTTTCACTAAAAAACTCTGCAGGCGATGTGATGCATGGATGGGCATGCTGCTGTGATGAAACTGCCAATCACCAGTTGCCCTTAGCTGTGGCCTTCTGAGTCATCGAATAGTTTCTGTGGAGGAACGTTGAAGCTTCAGGCAAAACCTGATGCAGATTCGTTGCTCTACTCACTCAGCCATTTTGAATGTGACAACCACACAGTACCCATACTCACTCAATAGCATCTACCGCCCCTGCCGACTAGAACAGTGAAATAGTCATTGTTCACACATGTGCATTCCAGTCCGCTCTCCTTGGCTGCCGGGTTACATAACTGTTGCGCAAACTGTTCTTGTTGTATTAACAATGGCTGGACTTTTTCCTGGACAGACCTCGAGTTTTGGAGTAGCTATAAATAGACAAATAGGGCTTTGAACTTCAAAAACAATCTATGTGGTGTGTGTTCAGCTTAGTTGTACTCTTTTCAGTAAACTGACTTACACATTTGAGGATCAGATTCCCGGATCGGTGACCCCGGAAGTGGTAGCATTTTTCCTACCCGTGAAATGAAGGCCTTCTCCTCGGGTTCAGCTCAGCAGTTTGGATTGAAGTGACACATTATTTTGCATTCTATAGCAGGCATGCCTCTGAACACTGTGGAGTGGGTTGGTACTCCCAGCTGCGGACTGAGAGGAAGTCTGCAGATGGTACCAAGGGACTGGGGGGAAGTTCAGGGTAGGGAAGCATCGAGGGTTGCCAGTGAATTAGGAAGTTGAAATTCAGCCCTGGCGCAGAGTAGGAGGGTTTTAGAGGACAGGGCCTGAGCCTAGGCATCTGGTCAACCCGTGCTTGCGTGCTGGGCCCACTGGGTCCCTGGCACTGACTCGTGAAGGGGCTTTGGGGAAATCAGGTAACTTCTCAGCTTTCTCATCTATAATGTGTGACTATTTAACCCTGTCCCTTAGACTGTTTTTCAGGAGCAGTTATGGTATGTGTCACTGATCACAATGCCTCGCATATGGTAGGCACTCAATAAATCACAGCGGTTGTTATTAGCAATACGACTAATATTTGATCAGTAACTGCTCCATAGGCCTGCCCGGTTGGAAAAACTTGGGGAGTGGGAAGGGCATTAGAGTCTTGGGCTGTGAACCCCAGGGGAGGGCTGCAGGCTGCGTCCTCAGGGACAAGTCGGTAGCCGTGTTCTCGGCTGTGGACTGATGCGTGTTTTCTCCCTTCCCGGTCCTGCAGGATGTGGACAAGTGGTCCTTTGACGTCTTTTCCCTCAACGAAGCCAGCGGGGACCACGCACTGAAGTTCATTTTCTATGAATTACTCACACGCTATGATCTGATCAGCCGTTTCAAGGTCAGTGGCTCATGAAACACACACACACACACTTGTCTGTCCTTGCGTGACTTTGGGGCTAAGGCCAAGAGAATCATTTTAATACAGACCCAGAACTGCCCTGGGAGACTCGGGACGCATTGCCGGGACTGCCACGGTCGTGAACCCCTCTGCGGTGGGAACTTTTCATTGCTCCCCTGCCTGGCGGGCTCCTTGGCGGGGCAGAGGCTGGAGCCACACATCTCGACCCCGCTCGTCCTCGAAGCACCACCCGAAGCCTGAACTAGCAGAGCTGCCCGAGGCGCTGCCCGCTGATCCCATGTCAGCCTCCTTTCCTGTATGGTCTCCTGCCGTCCGCCAGGAGACCGTCATGGAGACAGAAGGGTGTCTGCTGTCTCTGCAAATGTTTTTTTCTCACCACTTGACTCCAGTGCAGACAAACACTCTCCCTCATCATCTGTGACAGGTCGTTGGTATTGCCCAGCCAGTCGAGCTGCAAATTAATTCTTCAGCTTTAAGTAAAGAGCCGGAATCGTTTCCAGGGTTCCGTCCCTTCAGACTCTCATTCCGCAGACTCGGGGCCGTGCCAGGTTCCCCAGGCGACCTGAGAATTCACCCACCGACATCTGTCATGTTACGCCCCCCAGATTTCTCTCATCCTGTGGGTGAGCCTGTGGAGTATGCAGGCCTTTTCTCTGTAACATACTGACTTCCCTGGACAGCACGGTGCCTTCCTGCTTTCTAAAGGACTGCGTGTTTGGGGGTGTATTTCTCACACAGCCATAAAGAGTTTATGGCAGTGGTCCTTGATTTCTTTTTTAAAAGATTTTGTTTACTTATTTTTAGAGAGAGGGGAAGAGAGAGAGAAAGCAAGGGAGAGAACCTTCACCATGTGGTTGCCTCTCACACGCCCCCTACTGGGGACCTGGCCTGCAACCCAGGCATGTGCCCTGACTGGGAATTGAACCTGCAACCCTTTGGATTCACAGGCTGGCACTCAATCCACTGAGCCACACCAGCCAGGCCTGGTCCTTGATTTCTTTTGCGCCAGAATCCTGTGTGAAAACTGGGTGACTGCCCAAGACCCCTTCCTCAGAGCAAAGCCCCCCACGCACACATACTCACGACTGGACCCAGCATTTCCGTGGTTCACAGACCCCTCACGAACAGGCCCAAGAACCTAGGTTTCTCAAATCTTCATTTTCAAAAGCCAGAATTGATCTCTGACGCTTGAAAGGCAATATTGAAAGTTTTACAAGTGGAAGAATGGGAGGAAGACTGTGGTCCAGGAAGAACACATCACAGACCCTCACCAACTGTCACAGCAGTATCTTCCTTATCATTAGTTCAACATTTTACCAGCTTACCATGATACCGGTCTCCTGGGACACACGCTCTGCCCTTTCCCCCATGATCATACTTCACAATTTACCCTGAGCCACGGAATTGATCCAGAACACTGACACGGGGACTGTTTTCAGTTTCCTCATTTTCCACAGACATTTTGTAATTGCCCTTCACTTTCTGCCACATAGAAAAAGAAGGTAAATTTATTATACATATTTGAGACAGAAAAGCAATTAGGCTAATTGGAAATGCATTCCAAATTGCAAGGCACCTATGATAAATCGAGTACCAGAGGAAAGAACGCAGGTTTTTTCTGTTCCCAGGTGTCACAGATTATGACATTGCTTTTTTTTAATGTGTCCAGTGCATACAATCGCTTTTCCTGAAGAGCTCATTTTTCAGGAGGCGGCAGCCTGTGTTTATTTTACAATCATTTAATGACTCACGGTCTTGGTGTATGCTATGTTTTGTCATCAATAAATGATACATGGCACAGAGCGTGTTCGTTTACTTCTCAAGAAATAAAAGACTTGAGCCTTTGCTTGAGAAATAAATGAACACACACCCTTCTGCCCTGCACGTCTTTGAGATGATCCTGTGTGATCTCTTTCCTCTAAATCACTAAGCCACTAAATCACTACCCCGTTAACCTTACCGATCTTTTTCAGATCCCAATTTCTGCACTTGTCTCATTTGTGGAGGCCCTGGAGGTGGGGTACAGCAAACACAAAAATCCTTACCACAATTTAATGCACGCCGCCGACGTCACCCAGACTGTGCACTACCTGCTCTACAAGACAGGTGTCGTGGTGAGTACAGACGGGAACTCTAGGATTACACAAACCGCCAGGTCTCTATGGTCAGTCTCTGTGACCTTTACTATAAAATCTTCTTCAAATTGGCGTCACGATAGACGTTCTTTGGGTATGGTTCTTCATTAGCCCATAATCCCAGTACGCATTTGTTATCTTTTCAATGAGGACATATTGAATGACTGGGTCTAATATTTCACTGAATTAAAAATGGAATATGGTGGGAGGAGCGTGGGCTTTGCAGCTCATTATAGTTGGACAGAAATCCTTGTTTAATTACTTATCAGATCCTGTGACCTATGATAAATTGCTTGAATCTGTGAGTCAGGATTTCCTCGTTTTCTAAAATGGTGAAAATTATTCTGTCTTGTACAAGGACCATGACAGCCAGCAGTAAAGTGCTGACAATGTAAGGCGCCCTGTCTGCCTCCTGAAGGAGACTCCACAGTTAGGGGTCGCTGCCCTTAGAGCTTTGCAGGCTTTCCCCCAAACCTCTCGGCGGTTTGCAGTCCCTCCTTACTGTAAAGCTGATTTCTTAAAATGCTGTTTAAAAAGCTGTTGCTTTAATTACAGAAACAGCACAAAGGGAACCTGTTTGATGTGATAAAGGGTTTCTGCCAGGAGCTTAGAGCAAGCGTCGTAGCTAAGGGGGGTTCAGTGAAACCCTGGTGCCACGCAGGGACGCCCGCACTGACACTGCTGCTGAGCATCTTTCTGGAGGCCTCAGCCGGGGCGGCGTGGCATCTGGAGAGGTTAAAGAAGCACCCTGTGCAAATGATTTGATGGTCTCTTTTTAAAAATCAAGAAATTCAACTGCAACTGATTAGATCAAATAAAATAGCTGTCCTGTGCACTGGAAGTTAACATGTGTCATAGAAAAACATCCCTTCTCAACAGTTTTAAAAAATCTGTAAGTTACCTGTGAAGAACTTCAAACCTGATGAAAAGGAAACTAAAACTAAAGGGCACAAAATAATATTTAACTGAGTAGAGAAATGCACCATGTTTTTGATGCCTCAGTATTATAGAGATATCAGTTTTCTTCAAACTAATCTTAAATTCAAGGTAATATCAATAAAAATTCCAATGAGATTTAAAAGGAAACATGATTAAAAAATCTGAAATTGATGGAAAATAGATATTTTACAACCTTAAAAAGCATCTTTGAAAAAGATAATGTGTGTGGTGGGGTAGTTATTACTCTAGTAGATATTAAAATAACTCCTGAAGCTATAGCCATAAAAAGAGTGTGGCATTTTTTTGCCAAACTAGACAAATATAACAATGGGATTGATTAGAGTTTCAAAAATGAAGCCCAAATGAGAGCACTTATTATGTGTCAGTTTCTTTTTCTAGGGTGAAGGTACGTTGGTGATCTTACAGAATCTGCATTCTAGTGGGAGGTTACAGACAGGAGACCAAAGATAAGGCTGGAGAGCAAAGCAGGAGCCAGGCCAGATCTGGCTCTGTGGCTCTGGGGAACGAGTTCCAATTTTGTTCTAAGTGCAGTGAGAGGCCACTTAAGGGGGTTAGACAGAGCAGTCATGGGACCTGACGAAGATTAGGAAGGTGTTGCTGTGGAGAATGGAACCGAGGCTGCCTTTCTGAGGAGGCCTGCGGGCGCCCACTGGAGAGAGGGTAGTGGTGTGGACTAGGAGGAACATTGCTAGGATATGGGGACAAAGATTCTGTGTCTGAGGTAGAGGTGAAAGAACTGGGAGGTGAACAGGATTTGGAGCATTCAGGAGAGGAATCAAGAGGACCTCTCAGATTTTCGGTTCGATAAACAGGGTGGGCGAGAGAGCCTGGTGGCGAAGCAGTCTTGGGGGAAGGGGGCTCAAGAGCTTTGTTTCAGACACGCTGAGTTTGAGACCCTTCCTAGACGTCCACGTGGGGACGTCAAGCAGGAAGAAAACTAGGGGAGTCTAGAGTTCTGGAAAGAGATCAGGGACAGGCATGCAGCCAAGCAACAGACGTGTCAATGTTACATGAAGGCCGAGAACCAGATGAGATTGTCTAAAGAAAGCACGTGACGCCCTATCTGGTGTGGCTCAGTGGATTGAGTGCAGGCCTGCAAAACAAATGGTTGCAGGTTTGATTCCCAGTCAGGGCACAAGCCTGGGTTGCAGGCTGGGTCCCCAGTGCAGGGCTCATGAGAAGCAACCACACATTGATGTTTCTCTCCCTCTCTTTCTCCCTCCCTTCTCCTCCCTCCCAAAAAAATAAATAAATAAAATCTTAAAAAAAAAAAAAGAAAGCATGTGACTAGAGAAGGAGAAGGAGAAGGGGCTCTGGAGGGAGTCTTAGAGCAGTCCATAGTTTAAATGGAAGGTAAAGAATTAGAGCCAGCAATGGAAACTAAACAGGAGTGGCCAGGGGCATTGAGACAAAACCCAAGAGAGTATGGATTCACCAGCACTGAGGAAAGAAGGTGCTTCAAAATAGAACGGTGAATGATGCAGGGCACGACAGAAAAGTCAAGCAGCATGAGGACAGGGAAGCGATCACTGCCTTTGCCAGCAGGGAAGCCGTCGGTACCCTTGACTGGGCAGTCTCACGGTTTGGTGAGGTTGGAACACTGATGAGAATGTAACACAGGACGAACTGCGGGGGAGAAGGTGAGGTCACGTCCAGAGTCCACATTCTAGGGAAAACTACCCAGTCCAAAAAATGTTTTGGGGGACGGTTGTTCATTTGGAATACACAGGTTATTTTTGTCTGACTTCACATCATTCGTGAAATATCAGAGAAAAGAATGAAAGATGTGAGTACAAAAATAAAGATTTGCTGATAGTGTGAGAAAATGTGAGAATATGTTTATAACCTTGAAAAAGGAAATTTTCTTAAGCCTTAACACACAATAGTTATCTACCAAAATATTGATTAATTTGAATATATTAAGACCTTCTGTAGGTACAAGACATCATCACCATGAAGTAGTACTTGAGGAAAATAGAGAATAAGGGCTAAGATCCAGATTATATAAATAATTCAACCAAGGAGAAAATGACACAAATTCAGTAGAAAAATAGGAAACTCATTCAGAGTTAATATTGCCCTGACATAAAGTATTTCTCATGTGCAGATTTTTTTCCCTCCTAAATTCGTATTTGAAGTCCTCATCTAACCCCCCTCCTCACCCCTCTCAGTGCCTCGGAATGTGACAGAATTTGGAGAAAGGGCCTTGAAAGAGGAAATTGAGGTAAACTGAGGTCAGATGGGTGGGCCCTAATCCAGTGTGACTGATGTCCTTATCAAAAGAGGAGATTGGGACATGCAAGCACAGTGAGGACCATCTCAGCAGACCACGTGAGGACAGTGAGAAGGTGGCATCTGCAAGGTGCGGACACATCGATCTTGCCCTTCCAGCCTCCAGAACTGTGAGAGAACACGTTTCCATTGCGTAAGCCGTCCCATCTGCAACATTTGTTACGGCAGGCCCGGCGCACTAATGCAGCAGCAGAGCTGGGATTCGGTCCGAGGTCTGACTTCCGAGGCCGTGCATTTAAATATTTAAGCCATGCTTCTCCAGTGCCTGTGGCAATAAAAAGAAAGGAAAAGAAACAAGAAAAAAATTGGTAGTCTTACACCTCAGTAACTGCGTGTGATATTTGAAAGTGTTGTAGCGGGAATCAAAGTGAATTTGAAAGCGTACTTCGGATTCATCTATTCAACGTATATTTAGTTAGCGCCCACTGTGTAGTAGACTGTGGAGATGTGAAGGTGAATTACGCACAGCTTTTTTTAGCCCTCCAGAAAAGCTCCCAAGCATGTATGCTAATGCAAGTTGTCATTAACATAAATGTTACAGCGTGGCAGTCAATGAGAGTGATGTACTGCATAATGTTCTTGAGTGAGCTTATTTGCCATTGAATTTTCATGATCAAGTCAGGCCTCATTCAGAGTAACTCTTAAATATAGAAACTACTTCCCACCCACTCTCTCTCGGAAATGCAGCTCAAAACAAACTTCTTTCGTGGCAAGCTTACAGAAGCAGTGGGAGCAATCTGATGAATGGAGAACACATCGCGACTCTAACCTTTCATTACAAACCAAGAGGGGAGAGATGCTTTAAATCAGTTCAGTTCTATAAACTGCAAGACACCTAGGGCATCAAAACACCCCACTGACAAACCGATGCCCAGTCCTCTGCGTCAGCTCATTGCCGTCTGTGCGTGTGGCTCATTACTGCTTAACTCAGGTGCCTAGAAGACGCTCGAATCCTTCCAGACCGCTCATGCTCCCTTCTAAGAGCCGGGCTGTGAACAGAATTGGACTGAAGCGTTGCTGATTGCACGCATAAGGAGTCAGACTCCAAGCTCCGGTCTGCCTTTGATTTACGTCAGAAGATTCCACACTCCAAAGCTGTCCCTTGGGCTCCTTCATTGCTTTCGTTGGCCAAGGTGCCATTAATTTTCTTTTGCTCTTATTTTTAGAGGAGGGAAGCTGTGTATCTTGTTCTTTTGAGCACAGATGGCATCAGCGTATCCGTAAGGGGAACATCCAGGGCATCCATCTAAGTGGCAACCTGATTCAAGAGTGCTGCGCACTTTTATGAGGGTCTGTGGCTAGCGGAATTTTGGCTCCCATGACCTTTGACCTCTTGCGAGTTGTCACACTCGTTAATGTTACATTAGCTGCCCAAAGGGACTTGGCAGCTACCATGAAGTTTACTAATCAGAGGACCTTAAAATTGGGAGAGTATCCTGGATTCTCCGGGTGGGCCCAGTGTAGTCACGCGAGTCCTTACAAGACAGCAGGTTTGGCAGAAGTGTGCTAGGCTGAAGGGGGACAGAGCCGAGTGGAAAGCATGAGAAGGAACTGAGGTTTGCCACTGTCTCGAAGGACCCTGGAAGCAGACTTCCCACAGAGGTTTAGAGGGGAACGCAGGCTTGCCCACAGCTTGCGTGCGGCCGTGGGAGATCCTGACCAGGACACCCAGCCAGCCGTACAGGCCGACTTCTCACCTGCAGGGCGGTGTGCCAGCGCGTGGGAGGCGTTCTCTCAGCCTTGCGTTTATGGTGATTTAAGGTGGCAACGGAGAGCTGATATAGGGGTGGAAACAGACCACTGAAGAAACGGGCCTTCACATATCCAAGTCCCAGTGTGCGGGTCATGCTTGCACTAGCAGTGGGAACTTGCCACGTCCTTTCCCTTCAGGTTTCTGCTGCCCCCACCCCCATCTGCCCCGCGGATGTACACATGTGGCTTGCCCTCCTGTGTCATACACAACAAGCTTCCAAGGCCACCGTTACAACAGTTGTCAAGGCATTGCTGTCACTGCATCAGTTGTGACACTCATGTTTTGTAGAGAGTAAAATACTGATAGGACCTGTGGCTCGTCCCTCGTCGCAGCTTGGTGAATCTGGAACAGTATCCACGGGGGACTTAAACCTACGACTCCTTGTGGGTTGTCCTACAGTCTTCTGGCTTCACAATAATTAACTTGGAAAAGGCAAGGAAACCTGAGCTTTATTAAAATACGAAGCCCGATTTCCCTCTAACTAGCTTCTCCCACCCTCTCTATTTCTATTAACAGTGCCACCTAATATCCCCCACCATTGTTTTGGCCCCCCAGGCTAGGACTGTCGGGGGCATCTGTAATTCATCCTTCTCCTCCGCGGAAGCCTCTGCCTGCCCCCTCATTCCATCAGTTGCTGAGCCACACGGATTCTGCTTCGCACTGCCTCCATGTCCTACGAGGACTTTCCCGTCCCAGAGCTCTGCTCTTATTTCTCCCTCTCGGTGGCGGGCTGAGTCTGCCAGTCTCCTGCGTGTCAACTTCATTGCCTGTTGAATCTGCTTTATGTCCCTCATGCTGCCTTTTTATGCCTGGTGCCTAATCAGCCCTAACGCCCACTCCACAATGGGAATCTTACCCTTACTGGTGATGCATCAGCTTTTGCCACTGGCCATGCACATTTGTTCATTGTTCTGAAAATGTGCACCTCCATTCCTTAACCATCTTAAATGTCCCTTGTTTGTGAAGCTGTCTCCCTCCTTCCTTGCTTTCTTCCCTCCTTCCTCTCCTCCTCTTCCTCTTTTTCTTCTTCTTCCAGATACCATCTCTTTTCTCTTACCCCCAAACAGCAAAACTGATTCTAAGCATCCACAGGGTTTGTTGAAAATCCAGGGTGTGAAAATGAGATTTAAAGGCCCTGGTTTTATTTTTCTGTTGTATGCTTGTTTGTGCTCATTTCCCCTACAATAGGATCATGTTACTCTCTTTGGGTCAGGGGGGAATTTATACCGATATTTGTAATGTGAGGACTGTAATTATGTAGTTACTTAGACACCTGCTGGCGGGGTTAATGTCCTGTGATTCAGATTTGTTTAGATGGTACACTGTCTTCCACTCATAATCTTATTTTAAAATGTTAAATTAACTTCACAGGATCTTGGAGAAACAGAAATATGCAAAGGAGTGGGTAGTGGGAGTCAGAACAGGTGGGTGGGGACAGGGTGTTGGGAAAGAAAAAAAAGGCATTGCCAAAATGAATATATTTGTGTGTGCATATGTATAAATATACATATATTTATATTTATACATACATATATATGTGTGTGTGTGTGTATATATATATATTTTCACAGCAGTTTTTTAGTGACTGTCTGTAGCATTCAACTTAGGTTCTATGGACATAACAGCTCCATTTTTGTGTTCACTTTTTATTGGCTTAATTGTGTGTGTGTGTGTGTGTGTGTTTGGAAAATATCAAGAACAATGTGTACTATAAAATTAAACCTATAGTTTTATGCAAAATGGAGTGAACACATGAACCCAAAGGAAAGGTGAGTTAGAGATGAGGAGTAGGAGCTCTGAAGTGACATTGTGTGGCTTGTCAAAGCACGAATCGTGGGCCCCCGGGCCAGCTCCTGAGTCCCTCCGGCCTCAGTGTCCTCACCTGTGAGAAGCGGGTAGCAGCACCTACCTCCGTGCTGCTGTGTGCATAGCCTGAGTGTTGGGTCAACACCCAACACAGAGCCAGCGCCCTCTAGTGAGGAGGCTGAGGAGGGGCCCTGGCTGCCTTCAGGGTAGGTGTCCCGGCTTCTGGTTTCTCACCGAATTTTGTTGACTTTTCATCTTAGTCTGTTTGCTCTTTATGTCTTTCTGTTCCTAGTACATCGGTTTATATTTTTGAGGTGTGCTGTCGAGGATGTTAAAAAGTTTCCAGACATTTCCTGCTGGATTCGGCTGGAAACCATTTCTCAAAAGTACAGTTTATTTTTCCCCACGAGTTACGACTGTGCTCATTCTTTCCCTAACCACGAAGTCTTTTTTTTTTTTTTTTGCAGAGGTCGTAGGTGGTTTGTTTATTTATTTTTCCCTTAGCCATCCTCAAAAACAGTAATAATTCTCTGAAAGTTTCTTAAACACCAACATTAGTAGTTAATTGAAAACAAAGCCAGGTAAAGTGATAAGAATTATGAGAAATTGATCTGTTTATTTTTAAAGTCATTTTGTGTTAGCATATATTAAATAAGTATTTTATTCACTAATCTTTAATTCAGACTCCAGGCTATTTTCTGAATTCTGCCAATTCGGGCACCAGGATTTGTCTTTCATTAAACCTGCCCCTGAGATTTCTACTTCTATTACATCAAAGTAGAATGGAACTTAAAGATCATGAAACAAACTGAGGACTCTCTCTAAATCTTTGTAGTTGTTTTCTATGCTTTCAAAGTTGTTGCACCTTTTTTCGCAGCAGTTTTTTAGTGACTGTCCATACCCCTGACCTTAGGATCCGTGGACATATCAGGTCCATTTTTGTGTTCGTTTTTTACTGGCTTACGTCATATGTAATGACATAACTGTGATACCAGTGCACTTGGTCCAGACAGGGTTTGGAATAAATCACACTGACGCTGGTAAGCGTCAGTTCAATAGTAACGGAAGCGGGCAGAGGGTAGCAAAGGCTCCGAGCTGTCAGCGTCAGGGATGTTCCGTCATGTGGGCAGTGGGCAGCGTGGTTTGCGGAAGGGTCGGGGAAGCGTCAGTGACCCCACAGTGTCTCTGAGCTGGAAGTCATCAAGGGAGCTTCAGACACGGCGGTGGTCTCAGACTCTAACACGCGTCGGCATCATCGGGATGCCTTGTAGAAGAACACAGGCGATGCCAGCTCTGCTGGCCGCGGAGCACACTTTGAGGACCCCCGAGCTACAGCCAGTTTCGGTGTGTGGGCGGGGACCAGTCTCTTCAAACTTTCGCACACGTAACTCGGAAAGCAAGCTGTTACCTTTCCGTCTCTCTCTCCACCTGTTTACCTGTTAGCAGGGGTGTCGAACACATTTTCATGGGGGCAGGGGCTACATAAGCCTTGCAGTTGCCTTCAAAGGGCTGAACATAAAGCTCCGTGCCCCTGGTTAAGGAATAGTTACATTTATACAGTCCTAAAATTACATTCGGCCCTTTGAAGGCAACCACGAAGCTGATGTGGTCCCCGGTGAAAATGAGTGTGACACCCCCGTTCTACTGGGTAGACATTGGGTTTTCCATTACACTTAGCTCTTGGTATTCTATCAAACATTTTAATTTCTTTCTGTGTCTACCTAGGAACTTTATTTGGGATTTGAGAGAGGATACAATAAAGGGCTTTTAACGTCTGCATGTTCATTGTGTTTTGCTTTCTTGAAAAAGATAAAACCACTATTTAGCTTTTTCAGCTGTGCTGGGCATGCTGTCTCCAATGCCATGTCCCCCAGCCCCCTAGCCCCCTACCCCCCAGCCCCCTTCCTGAAGGAAAGGGCATTTCTTCCTGCCTGAAAACACGTGTCTGGTGGCAGCGGGCCAGCTGCGGGCGCGGAGGCAGGAGTGAGGGGGTGCTGTCAGCAAGCTGAAGACCAGAGAGAGACAGACGATCTGATTGCTCTGTAATCTCCCTTTCAGAACTGGCTAACGGAGCTGGAGATTTTCGCCATAATCTTCTCAGCTGCCATCCATGACTACGAGCACACCGGAACCACCAACAACTTCCACATTCAGACCCGGTGAGGACGTGGAAATGTTTGGAGAAGAGGCAAGAGGGGCCAGGGAGAGAGTTTTATACGCCAGACGGGGGTCGTCACCTTTCTTTGGCATGGTTGCTCTATTTTGAGTTTCTTAAAAAATGAATTTTTGAACAAGGTCAGCCTGGTCAGCTTCGATCAAGACAGATTATGAGAAACCTCCTGCTCCTAATTCCCATATTTTATTCACATTTAATATAGATCTCTTTTTCCTCTCTGTTCTGATGCTAGTTCTTTGTTACTGATGGATGCACTGTGCATGCCCTACCTGTTTTTAATGGGAGATGGAACAATTTACAAAAAGGCACGGATGCCATGGAGACTAACTCAGGGGGGACGGGCGAGGATTGGAGGGTTTTGTTGGCATGAACAGTAACCGAGCCTTCTTACCCTCTCATCTCTGGGGTTCTAGGGGTGCTCTTCCCAGTCTCCCCGATTTCTTCTCTGCTCAGCTTGGTGGCCCAGGGCCTGGGGAGCTGGGCTGTCTCATGTAGGGGGTCACTCACCATGGGCAACCTATGCGCCCTCCCTCACAAACAGCCCAGGTACATGCAAACCTTTTTTGGGGGCCACTGAACCTAGTCCAAACCACTCCAAACCTCTTCACTGTCACAGACATCACTAGTCATCCTGGGTGATTTTTTCTTACTAGTTGCAGGTTTATCCTTAGCACCCTCCTCAGCACAGAGTTCCAGGCAAGCTGTACCAGTCCACTGCCATTTGCATTTGGGATGAAACCTTAGCTGCCTTCTCCTGGACTCAGAACTTACCTTCTCTTAAGACAGTGACGTGGAACCCAAGAGAATCTGACAGTCGGGCTCACTGGGCCTTGACCCAAAAAATCAAAGGAAGCTAGAATTTGGGGAGAGGTGGCAAGGCAACAAGAAAGAGCAGCAGGGAGGCGCGAGCTTAACCCTAAATAAGTACTTGCTGATTTCCCTTGAACGAGCAGGTGCACCGTTCAGATAGCTTTGTGTTCACAAATCAGTCCTCACGTATTTAGTGAACCCAGCACTTCATTGTGCGGCACGCAAAAGAGGACAGTATCCTCTGGTCAGTGTTCAGAAGGGGAATTTCAATAGGATGGAGGTAGAGGAGAGGGCTTAAGCTGTTCACATGCTACCTCCTTCCTCCTCCCATTGCATAGTCTCAGCTGCCGCAAAACAGCCTTTTGTGGCTCTGCTGGAAGGCCTTTGGACACAGGGAATTCCACAGGGTGGCTCTGCTCAGTGGGACCTTGCTCGGAGGACAGAGGACAGCACCTGCTGAAGGAAGAGGGGTGGGTAGGAGAACTGTTCTGGACTTTGGCTGCAGATCATTGCCAAGAGCAGTCAGGATACGGTGGGGGAATTAAATGCAGGAGTTGGAAAATCGCTTCATGTCAAATAACACACATCAGTTGGTGTGTTTTTACTTACTTACTTAACAGATAGAAGATCAGATCATTCACCCCAGGGTCTGCGTGTTTTGTGCCATCTCTTCATCGGAGTGGGGAAATTCCAGTGGGTTCAGTTCAGCTTGGTTTGGAGTGAAATTTAGAGCTGGCCTTCCCCAACAGAGTTTCATCTGCCACATCCCAGCCCGTGTGCTTTCCGTGCAGAGCACCAGGTCTGTGCCCAGGTTCTGTGTCCTTTGACGGAATGTCAAGTCGGACTCTTCAAAGGTGTGCCAGATATATCTCAAAGTCTGGCCCGTGACAGGTGGCCATTATCTTGGGGGGGCAGTGGCCCACCTGTCAGAGATCTCACCTTCCTCCCACCCCGATGCTGAGCCTCTGGGGGCTCTGTGGAGTCCCTTCCCATCTCTGGGACTCAGTGCCCTTGATGAGACACAGATACACTGTAGTCATCTAAGACTGCACTGAACTGAGGACCTTGAAGTAGTACCCAGCTCTGTGTTTGCTGTCACTTAGCTGTGGGACGGTCTTTGAGAGGGGGACTGGCAAGTGTCCCACAACCCTTCCTTCCTTCTATGCTTCACTCCCAGTTTCCCGTGTGTGTGGCTTCTGCATGCTGAAATTTTAAGGGCAAACTCCTACCCAAAGAACTTGCAAACCGTACCTGGTAAGGTGGTACATGTTCAGAGAATTTAAGTAAAGTGAATTCTTTTATTTAATAAAAACATTAAAATTGTTGTAGAAAATATAAAGAAGTTTGACTTGACCTACATTTTTTTAAAAATCACCTTTGCTGCTACTAGCCAAGATATTTGAAGTGGGTTATAGAACCGGAGTTTCCAGAAAATTCTCAGACTGGATATACATATTTCACATCCACATATTGACATTAAAATACCCTACATACACCGATCGAGAATTTATAGTGTTCGTTTTAGCTGTTTTGTTCATCTATATGGCATAGGGGCAAAGGTAATTGCTAGACGCAGGAAAAAGAGACGGTGTGTTCGAGCTTGAAAGAGTTACTTACCCGGAACACCTCCTGTTCGGCATCCTACATCGTTTCCCTGGCTTTCTGCTCAGGTCTGACCCAGCTATTCTGTACAACGATCGGTCCGTGCTGGAAAATCACCACTTGAGCGCAGCTTATCGCCTTCTGCAGGAAGACGAGGAGATGAACATCTTGATCAACCTCTCCAAGGATGACTGGAGGTGAGGGTGAGACAAGGCACAGAGCCGGGGCGGGAAAGGGGCCGGGAGGAGACAGGAAGTGTGCCGCTCTGCCGAAGGCAGTTAACCGTGAGTGCACCTCTGTTTAGTCTCCTGTCTTGGTGGGAAAGCAATTTTAATACCCGATATATTTGTCTGGACACATAAGCTCATTTGGCTTTTTAGGACCTTTGCAAATGAACATATTGCCAGATATGTACCGCATTTCCAAGCGGCATAACATGGAAGTCCACTTCCAGCAGGCCAGGTTAGCTGCTAATAAACCAGTCCTCCTGCAAATAACAGCGATGATCTATGGACAGATGCAAACGAACCAGTAAGCACAGCCCCACTGACTTGAGGGCTCTAGGGAGAGAGAACAGAATCAGGCGAGTTTCAAAGGGGTGCCCATATTTGGAGACTATGTCGGGGGAAGTGAATGTGACGGTTTGGCAACTTTACCCCAAAGGCAGTCTCAGTCAAGGTGACAACAGTCATGGGCTAACACTGTATTTATAAAAACACCTTCACTGTTCTCCTGGCTGGACAGCCCAGGGTAGGAACAACCAGAGCTGCTGGTGCGTGTGTTAGAACCCCAAAGAGAGAGCCGGGTGAGGGGCACCTCAAACTCTGTGGCACTCCAGACGGCGTGCAAACGGCAGGAAAATGTGACTTATTTGCAGGGAAAAAGGTAACCAGTAGATGCAGCCTCCAAGGTGAGCTGCTGTTGGAATTAGCAGACAGGGGCTTTTGAAGTAGTTATTGTATCTATGCTCAGTGAGGTCAAGGACAATATGCTTGTAATGAAATGCAGCAAAATTTAACCAGTGGGATGAAAATATAAACAAGAGCAAACAGACCTTATTAGAACTAAAAAATCAATACTTACGTTTAAAAAAATTTACTGCACTGTCTTGGTAGCAAGTTAGAGAAGACAGAGGGAAGAATCAGTGAACTTGAAAAGATCAATCAATATAATCCAATTTGAAGAAATAGGAGAAAAAAAGATTTTAAAAGGTGAGCAGCTCAGGGACCTGTGAGACAGCTTCAGCTAGAAGTGAGACTAGAAAGGTCACAACTCATCCACCAATTTGATTAGAGGTGGCAAAAACTAAACTAATTTTTACTTTCCGTGTTTTACTTTCATCCCTTTCTCTCCACGGGGCGTCCCCGGAAGGGAATTTCGGACGCTGGTCATTGAGATGGTGATGGCCACGGACATGTCCTGTCATTTCCAGCAAATCAAAGCCATGAAGACGGCGCTGCAGCAGCCGGAAGCGTGAGTGGGCGTGCGACAACGCGTTTTTATAGGTGTTCACGCGGGAACTCGTCCGTGTCCTGGAACCTTTAACGTGTGCCTCCTCCCGACACCTGTGTTGAGTGGCCTCATAGAGCGGGGATGTTTGGAGGGGAGACCATGAGAACTGTACACATCCCAGATTCTCATCAGGGTTGAAAGGAATGAATAAGAGGCCTGATAATAATTTGCCCCAGTTAGAACTGAAAATATTTCCCTGCAGGGAAGTAAATGATAGACGATCTACTCAATGCAGAGGCGACATAGAGAAGTCAGTGACCTGGGATTTTCATTTGTTGGAGTGATGCATTTACTCCAGAAACAGTTTTGAGTCAGATTTTGAAGCGTCCAGCTCCACAAACCTGGAGACCCATCTGTGGTTAATCCACACGCAGGATGGCGTGACACCTTTTTCCCAGTTCAGCTGACAGTGGGGCTGAGACAGGAGAATGGGAGGAATTAAAAAATTAAATCTCTTTAGGAACAGAACAGACAGGGGGATGTTAAGAATCGCATAGGAAAGGGAAAAGCTGAAGAACTTACATGTACAACCCATGGACATAAACTGAGGGGGGATTGCTCGAGGGAAGGGGGGTACCGGGTGCAGCGGGGGAAGGGGAAAATTGGGACAACTATAACAGCATAATCAATAAAATATACTTAAAAATGAATGCTTTTTAAAAGAAACCGTTGTGGGGGTTCTGAGAGTTTGACCATTGTGTATGTGGTTCCTCTGGGTTTACAGCATCGAAAAGCCGAAAGCTTTATCCCTGATGCTGCACACGGCAGACATCAGCCACCCAGCGAAAGCGTGGGAGCTCCACCACCGCTGGACCATGCTGCTGCTGGAGGAGTTCTTCAGACAGGTACCTCGTCGCGCCGCTGCGCCCCAGGGCTTTCTCCACTGGCCAGTGTCCGAATTCTGTATGGCAGCACTGCTGTGATAAGGACTACTGAGATTGCAGTAATTTTCTTTGGCAAGGGAGGGCTTGCAGAGGGGGGTGTGTGTGTGTGTGTGTGTGTGTGTGTGTGTGATGTTTGAATCTTACTTAAATTCTGATTCTCAGAACATTATGGTATTTCTATCCTATGCTTTCTGTTGGGGAAAAAATACCATTTCCTTGTGGCAGTGTTTTGTCAAAATGTCATCTGAGGAGCCCTTTTATTTCTTTATTTCTTTAATGGGTTGACCAAACGATGACCAGTTTGGCATTACCCTGTGGGATTCAGATGTTACTCTTTTCACGGTTAAAATTGGTTGGCGTGTTTCTTTCTTTCGAGCTGGCAAGCCATGTCGTCAGATTCCAAAGCCAGGTGTGGCAGTGAGGGGTCAGGAAATCACCAAAAGCCACTGTTCTGATTATATTTGAATTTATTACACCCTCAGACATAGGACTGTGTTTTCAGGGAGAACAGCCAGTGTCTTTTATGGGTACACATGGCTTTTAAACATTTTTTAAAAGGCACAGGAAGTAGAGAAGTAGAAAGTAAAGTAAGTGTGTGGCGCTAAGACCAGTGTCTTCTCGAGAGCAGTTGCCATTCAAACCTCTGCTTTGAGATGTGAGGTCCTGAGCTGAAAGGTGTCGATGTATGTAAGACATGTCCAGACCTGCAGACAATTGTTGTAAGAGTTTCTGTGAGCCAAACTGGTAACAGTTGCCAGGAGGAAGATCTCAAAGGCTCTGGACAATGACAGTTTTGCAGCTTCTTTTGTCCGTTTGGAATTCAGGAAGGCAGGTAAAGAAGATTACATGAAGGTGGGAGGAAGCAAGGAGGGGACTGGGTTCCAGGCTGGTGTACAAGATTATGTGCTCCCTTGAGGATGGTTACGCTTCTGGGGGGCCCCAGAAAGAGGCCTCAAAGGCATGTTAACCTAGGTCCTCAGAGACAGTGGGCAGGGCTTGCTGAGGGCAAAGATAAACCTTTTGCTAAAGAAGTTACATGCCTGGGGCGTGACTGCCACCAAGACCTGCCCAGTGAGGAATCCATGATCGGGTCACCCTGTGCGGTCACTTTCATTTAGATTTATTGTAGCACCTATTTTTTTCTTTTCGTCTGCAAAGGCAATATATCATGTAGATTGTGGACCTAAATTATAGTTACTTCAAGTTAATACTGTTAGTTTGGTTAGTTCTTATTGATTTAAGAAGGGAGACTCACACCATGGATTGGGAGACCTCTGAGATTCCACAGAACACCACTTACTAACAGCGGTCTCAGCTTTGTCTCTGGAACTAACAAGAGATACGCTGGTTCACTGGCCGCTCAGAGTTTTCGAAGGGAATTACTCTTAAGCTGAAGACTGATTTGACGGAGAAACTGTAGAAGGCATCTGTGCTTTTTTTCTTCTTCTGAGGTTGTGCACGGGATCTGGTGATGAGGTGGGACTAGAGATAACACCATATTCAAGTCCAGAAGGCCCTTTGTATTGGAGTTTTTATTTCAATTGGTTTGTAACCTGGGACTAACTAATTCATTCCTCTGGCTCCCAGTGGTCTTATTTGTCATTTGTGTGTGTGTGTGGTGGGGGGGCGGTGTTTGAGGGGGAATGGGTTTGGTGGAACTTAAAGGCAGGTTGGACTAGATGTTTTTCTTCGGGTCCTCCCAGCATGAAATGTTCTACATTTTCTTCATTTTCTCTGCGGTGCATGTGAACACACCCACACACGCACCCCTACAGCGGTACGTGAATACAGCAGCAGGCACCCTAGCCAGTGTGCGGCGGTCTCCCCTTGCCAGGTCAGCGCCTGGCCTCACAGGGTGGTGCTCCAGGGGAGCCCAGTGGGGTGGAGGCACTAGGAAAGTACAGGTGCAGCTCTGTCATCGATGCAAGAACGACTCTGCAAATACGTCCTTCGTCAAGGGCTCATCTTGAGCCACTTTTCCAGAAGCTTTTTCCCTGATATTACTGAGGGCATTTTCCCCAACCATCCACTCCCCTGGTCACGTGCTTTCTTTGGTGCTGCTTTTCCGACGGCTGCCCTGTAGCTAAGAGTATTTTCTCTGCAGCCAAGTTAGATCACTGCTCACTCATGTCAGTTTGAGGCACTGAAGCGACTTCTTTCTTTAATTGTGAGAGGGCGAATATGAGAAGTTTCTTAAATAGGTGACCATTTTTTTCCCATAGAGGAAACCTTGTTTGCATACACAAATGTTTGAATGGAATGAAAATGTGCTAGAGGCAACGTGTTGAGTTTCTAGCCTGTTGAGAATGGAATGTTAGCTCGCTGGACTGGAACTATTTTTGAGTAATTATGAGTCAGTCAATTATTTTTATTGCCTTACTGTTTGAACCCAGATGTCAGAAGCCATTGTGAGTAACCCATGTAGGAGAAATGCTGCCTCGCTCTAATAGATTTTGAATCGGACAGTGCACATGGGAAATCTCAAAGGGACCTTAGAGTCTTTGAAAAAATTACATTTGGAAGTTGGGTTATATTTCAAAATAAGGGCCGATACCAGGCCTTCCAGGCTTTACTGAAAAAGTAAGTTACATCTTTAATTTTACAACCATATTTTACAAAATCTAAGCCACTGCCTCAGGGCCCTTTTCAATGACTTTGAAGAAGTGTAAGTTGGCCTTGTCGGTAAATACATGTTACAAGAGTCTTGAGGTTCATCTCCACTGTATTGCTGGATGTTCTTATATTTTGCAAACGTCTCCTGTAATTCTTTGAATTTCCTGTGTCTCCGTGGTTATTTTCCCATTCTCATTTTACATTTTGTATAGTAGTATTTTTTTCCTTTCTTCTCTGTGAAGTTAGCTCATTGCTTTATTGTTTTTTAAATTTTATAATGCCTTAATTCGTGTATTCATTTGTACTAATTCATTTCTTCTGCTTGAGTTTATTTTGTTCTTTTGCCAAGTCCCGGAGTTGGATGCTCAATTCATTCATCTGTATCCTACCTGTTTAATATTAGAAAATATAAGGCTAGGAGTTTGTCTCTTTCTTATCATAAGTCTCAGAGATTTTGATATGCAGAATGTTCACAATTGTTCTTTTGTAAGTATTCTCTAATGTTGGCTTAGATTTTTTTTAACCCAAGAGTTGCTTCTGATAGAGGTGTTTGTTTATATAATTTTCCGGTGGTAAGTTCTTTTGTTTTCTAGTTTTATTGTTACTTTGTAGCTTATTGAAATTTGATTAAAGCATTTTTCAGTGTTTGGATTTTACCGTGAGATTGGTTTGTTGCTGACTGTGCAATCAATTTTTGTGAATGTTCATAGCGCTTGAGAAATAGATTTATTTCTTATTTGTGGAGTAGAGAATTCAAAGAACACCAGGAGCATTTACCTTATTAATTATGTCATTTAGATATTTCATATATCATTTAAAAAGTTCATCTATCATGGGTCGAAAATATTGACCTCTTTAGTAAAGAGGGAAATGCATGAATAATTCCACAAGGGCTAGTAGTTATAGGGTCATAAAATATTTTATCAATCAAGTTGGATTTACCTGTAGAAGTACATTTTTTCATATTATTTTCCACATTTTTCCTTAATTCATAGATGTATGTCCTCCAGAGGGAATCCAATAACCACTACTTTAAAATAGGCTTTTAATAGTCGAACGGACTCCGCTCAATGAAATCCCAAGATGTATGTGTTAGGTGGATGCGGGTGTGGGCAAGTTTGTGGGATAAGCTGGTTAACATGCAGTTTTTCAGTAATAAAATCCCAGTGAATGCTAGAAGGAAAGAAAGCGGGGTGAAGGGAAAGTAGAAGAGGGTAAAGGGGGGTGTAAATAGTGATGGAAGGAGACTTGACTTGGGGTGGTGACCACACACACAATCTACAGATGATATATTATAGAATTGTTTACTTGAAACCTATATAATTTTACTAACCAGTGTCACCCTGATACATTCAATACATTTTTCTAAAAAATGAACACAACTTCTCATACTAAAAAAAAAATGCTTGTATCTTAATAATCAAGTGGCTAGTGTTCACCACCCCTTCTTATAAACCAGTAAACCACGCCCATGAAAACGCACCAAGGAAACAGCCTGTCCCCCTGCTCCGGGGGGAGTGAGCATGGGCTGAGCTATGCCACTGCGCAGCTGCAATGCACGTTGTAAATATTCTTCTGCCTGTTCATACTGCTCCAGCAGAAATAGCTCGGGAGGAAATGATTTTTACCATGTCCCTGGGCAGAGAGAGAGCAGCTTTCTGCAAAGTGTGCTCGGAAACGGAGGAGCCGCTGTGTCCCGTGGGTGTCTGTATAGAGGAGGGTGCAGAAGGAACCGAGCCCCTTCAGGACCCTTGCTGAGACCCTTGGGTGTCTCCAGCACCCACTGTGACCCCACTGCTCAGCTTCCTTGGACACCCATTTCTTTTCGTTCCTTTCAATAGATGTGGGTGAGAACCAGCATTCTTTCTCTTTGGTAACCTGCCTTAGGAAGGAGGAGCATTGTTTTTGAACCAGGCCTGGTTTTTGAACCAGTTGTAAATAAATATACTCTTTATTTACTATCAATTTATTGGCGGTATTTGTTATAATCAGAGTGTATTCGATGTGCAAATTCACTCAATGCTTCTCAGTCTCGACTTACACATGACATACTCATTGGGAGACAACCATAGTTCTTTTTTGTTTATTTGCATACATTGTCTCATTTAATCCTCATTGTAACCCCATGAGCTGGGGATTATTCTCCCACATTTTACAGATCATAAAACTGAAATGTAGAGAGAGAAAGGCAACTTCCTTTGACCACACAGCTAGTGGGGGGAAGGCCAGGCTCCAGCCCAAGTCAGTACCCGCTAACCTAAGCCGATTCTCCCATAATAAAATGAATCAGCACAGTGTCACTGCTTTCAGAGGGTGACATAGGTGCCTTTTCCTCACAGTGTGTGACCAAAGTGTTGAGCTTCTGGTTAAGATGTTTAAAAACCATCTCCATCATTATGTAGATGTTCCATAGCTCTTGCTTATTATAGCGATGCTTTCTGGTGAGACTGCAAATCATGTTTTATGGTCGTCTAATGGGGCAAACACAGGTGCTTATTTACTGCTCTGCTTTCTTGGACCATGTTTCGCTGTGGTTTGAGCCCGGTGGGTAAGAGCCCGGGAGCACCGGCCCCGCCGTGTCTGGTTTTAGGAAGCACACGGAGAAGAAATTCAGTCAGGCCGTTTGAATCTGTGTCTTGAACGCTGCCCGCAGCTGGGAGGGAGTCTCTGGCTCCAGAAAGGCCACGGGTGTCAGCACAAGACAACTGGGAAACACCCCGCGATTCTGACTGCCTGGCGGCTCTAGGCCACAGAACGCGTGGCTTTTGTTCCCGTCCTCGGGGGACCCGTCACTGCCTGGTGAGGCTTTCTGCCCCTCAGCACGTGCCTCTGCAGTTGAATGGAGTGACCACTCCTGGAGGGCCTCTGCTTCTTGGTGTCTTTTGTGCACAGAAGCAGGCCCCATAAGGACTGATCACATACTGTAATGGTACTAATTAAAGTAAAGGCCACTGGCCTTCGTGGCAGCTGAAGTTGCTATATAAAATCTGAGTGGCTCAGCCTACCGTTCTTAATTGACTGTGGTCCCCTGTTTTTCTAGGGTGACAGAGAAGCAGAGTTGGGGCTGCCTTTTTCTCCTCTGTGTGACCGGAAGTCCACCATGGTTGCTCAGTCGCAAGTAGGTACGTGTTTGCCAGGTTTGGATAGAAGGAGAAAGCGGAGAGGGCGTCCAGACGCAAGGCCAGAGGCTCCCGGGGATCCTCTGGCCGGGAACCCAGCTCCGTTCAGCTGTGCCATGCTTCCGGTTTGGCTTGGGGTGGAGGGTCGACAGAGCTGCTTTCCCCATCCTTCCCCCTGGAGACTAGACAGGGACGTGGCTCTCACCATCATTTTCTGCCAAGAAAAGAGGCCTCAACTTGCCGAGGCGATGGTAAGAATCAGTGGCAGGAAGCCTGTTTCCCATGCAGTGTGGGGAGTCTCCGCTGCACTTCTCAGGGATGCTGCCTCCTGCCGTTTCCAGGGCAACCCCCTCTCCTGCAGGACCCTCCTTCCAGCAGTAGCTCTTTTTAAATGTCTCCTCCTTCCCTCCCTTCTTTCCTCCCTCCTTTCCTCCCTCCCTTGCTTCCTGAAAACTTTTCAGCACCCTTTCCTTTTTGGTGAGGGTAACTTTTGCACTGTCAAGAACCATAATAGATGTGCATTATCAAAACCCTCAGATATGATGGAGCGTCCCAGTGCCACCTTAGAGGGGTCGATATTTTTTTCTACTCATGTTTTGGATACTTCTTCATTTTTTTCCATAGTAATATATGGAGCCCCCGGTAGCTGCAGGGCACTGCTAGGCACGGCAACAGATGTTCTAAAAACAAAGACAAATTGTACGTGGTGCCTGCTCTCAGAGATGTGGATCCCTTCTTGGGTGGCGGGTGGGTGTTAGGAAACTAAGTCTGTCAGAGTGTTCCGGTGTTGGGGTAGGGTTTCGTACATTGCCCATTTGGGTACAAGACAGAGTGTGCGGATCGTGAGACCCAGGAAGACTTGTTGACGAGTGATGTTCGAGCCGAGCCCCGAGAGAGAGGAGCAGGCAGTGACTGGGCAGATGGAGACGCGCCTGAGCGGTGTGCTGGGTGGCTGCAAGGACATTGCAGGCAAGGGCGTATGCTAAGCAGGGAAATTCGAAACAGTCTCGTGTGGCCTGGGAATTGCAAACAGTTCCCTGGGGTTGGAACAGTGGGTAGAGTAGAATGAAGGGAGGGGCATGTTTGGGGAAGAAAATCAGGCCCAGATTACAGGTTACGTAAAGAATAGCCTATGCTTTATCCTTCCCCACAGGAAGAGAGGGCATCTCTAAAGCATTTTAAGTAAGGCTATAAATTGTAATAAATTGATGGGCTCAATCTGGCCCACCGCTTGGTCTTGTAAATAAAATTCTATTACAACACAGCTAAGCTCTTTCCTTTGTATGTTGTCGATGGCTGCTTTTGTAGACAGTGGCAGAGAGAGGGAGTCATCAGAGAGATGGCCCTTAGAACTTAGATATTTACTACCTGGCCCTTTAAAGGAAAAGTTTGCCTGTTTTTAGGAAGACCTCTCTGTCAGTAGCGTGGAGGGTTAGGTGGAGGGTTTGTGTGAGACAAGGGTCAGGGGACCCAGTGGGGAACCTCCTGCAGGGTGACCGAGAAGGGCAGGAGAGTCGGAACTCAGGTGGTCCAGGGACTCTCCAGGGGAGCAGTGGCATACACGAGGTCGAGGGTTCGGCTGTATGTGGAGCTAGGGTAAAGCCAGCACGTCAGATTAAGTGGATGGACCATGGTACCATTTATAAGGGCTGGAGGGACAGCTGATGAGCTCTTTCTGATTTGGACACAGGTGAGGTTAACTAGTAAGAAAAAAAACGGTGAAATGGTGTCATCAAATACTCAGTTTCAGTTTCAAATTATACTGTAGTTTGCCCTGGCTGGTGTGGCTCGGTGGACTGAGTGCTGGCCTGTGAACCAAAGGGTCGCCAGTTCAATTCCCAGTCAGGGCACACGCCTGGGTTGTGGGCCAGGCCCCTAGTAGGGGGCACACAAGAGGCAACCCCACATTGATGTTTCTCTCCCTCTCCTCCTCCCTCCCTTCCCCTCTCTAAAAATAAATTTTAAAAATCTTTTAAAAAATTATACTGCAATTAAGTACAATTCAAAATTGACTATCAGTGTTTCCTTATTAGGATATTATGGGTATTTGATTGAAACAATTCTTGTTTTGCCAGTTACATTGTAGAACTTTCAGCATTCTTCACCGCTGGGCATTCAGTGCCAGAATCACCTCTATCTCAGTCATTGTGAAAGCCAAATAAGTGGTTGTATGTTTCCAAACACTGTATCCCTTGGATCGGCATTTCATTTCCTTCCACATTTCACGTGGCAGTGTTAGGAATTACCACCAGGAGTGCCCGGATGTATATTTTCTCCCGATGTGTCACAGGACCAGGGGTATCTTTGAGTTGTTAGACAGTCACGGTAGCCCAACCTCAACTACCTCCCTGGCATGGTCATCTCCCACGGGTGCGGTTCCAGATCTGACCTCTCGCCCAGTGTCCAGCTCTGTTTCTTCCCACTCTGTGTGCCCCTCCCATCCAGGTGTGTCCCCGTACCTCAGAGTCCGCTGAGCTCACACTGAGCCCACCGCCCTTCTCCCCAGCCTCCCACTCCCCCCCCCAATCCTCCATGTTCCCCCTGCTGTGCTGTGGGGGGTCTCCGACAGGCCCCACCCAGGGGCAGTGCCCACCCCCGGGGGCTGTGCACGTATATCTGTGTGTCTTGACTTCCCACTTCTGGTGGGACTGGATCCCACCCCCCTTACCTTTCCTTTGAGCTGTTGCAGCTTCGAAAATGATTTCCCAGCCCAGCAGGAGGGCAGGGACCCTCCTGCCCTCTTTCTTCCCATTCATCTTGTCAGATTAATTGTCCCAAAGAACATTTTAAAAATCTTATTATGCTGCTGCCCAAACATCTCCAGGGGCTTCTATTGCCCATCGAGGTCCCAACCTTTTAGCCACACACTGCTGAGTGGGTGATGACCTGCCCTCCCAGGCTCTCCCTGCCCGACTCCAAAAGGATCCTGAAGCCCCAGTCATTCCTCAGACACATCCTGCAGTTTCTCCCACCCTTGCCACTTTGTTTACCCCACCCCCTTCCCTGAGCCTTAGGGCTCAGCTCAAACGTCACAACCTCCATAAAGCTGTTTGCAGCCCTCTCAGTAGGAGGGAAAGTACCCTCTCTCCCTTACCTTCCCAGAGACCTTTATTTGGGCATCTCCTCCGTATAGATGCTCGTGGCCACTTTTGCACCCATTTAATCTCCCCTATAAACCGAGGGCAGGCAGATAGTGCCTATCAGAACTGCGTATAACTGTTATATATGTACAACTACACCTAACTGCGCATGCAACAATGTGTTGCAGAGAGGATGTTGAGTCCGTATTTTTCGGCACTTTATTGAGCTATCTACTAAAAAAAAAAGTCAGGGAAATTCTGTAGGAGAAACAGAGCTGAGTCACGATATTCACATGAAGGAGTGCATATTAAGTGACTGCGACCGGCCTGCCCTCTCATGCTCTGATCGGAAGCGCCTGTGCAGGGGAACTGCAAAAGCTAGGCCGCAGCAGCTTCCTTGGGGAAGAGCGGAGAGGCCCACGCTACTGTGCTGTTTCTCTGGAGCAACGTCGTTTCTCCGCAGGCTTCATCGACTTCATCGTGGAGCCCACCTTCACCGTGCTCACGGACATGACCGAAAAGATCGTGAATCCGTTAATCGACGAAGCCTCCCCGGCCGGCGGGACAGGGCAGCGGCGTTCCAGGTCAGTGGGGAGGGCTGAGGGCTGAGGGCCAGCTTGGCTTGTCCGTGAAGATGGAGTTCTTCTTCTGGAGGGCGCGGGGGTGTATTTCATAGTGACGTTTGCCCTACCTCCTTCTTACGAGGGAGGTGTCTGCCTCCTCCTTTCCTCAGACGAGTTGAAATTATACCATTGCTGCCCTCTGGGCTGGTCCGTAAAGGGGCGGCCATGGTCTAACTGATGATTGACCGGCACCTAGGATGGCATCTCTGCCCGTGCTCGTTCTGTCTCTGCTCTGGCAGGTTTAAACATCCCGATCCCGTTGCTCATTAGCTGTGCGATCCCAGGCACGGTGCCTCAGCTCCTTCATCTGGGAAGATGCGGACCCGTCAGGACCCGGGAGTTTCAGGGTCATGACTCGATGAGTGTTAACCATGGGCACACGTTTTTCAAGCGCTAACCCTCCCCTTCCGGCCCACCTCGCCAGGCTGATTCCGTGCGTGTGCTTTTCCTCTCGTCCCCCAGTTTGAACAGCCTCAGCTCGGCAGACGCGAAGCGGTCGGCTGTCAAGAGCGCTGGCTCGGAAGGGAGCGCCCCGGTCAACAATTCCGTCATCCCCGTCGACTGCAAGAACTTCAAAGTCACCTGGACCGAGGTGGTGCACGTCAACCGGGAGCGGTGGAGGGCCAAGGTGCCCAAAGGTAACCCGTCCGGGGGACCTGTCCGCACCGCGCAGCACCCACTCACGTCACAGGCAGTGCCGTCCTGACTTACGGGCGCTGCAGGTGAAGCGGGAGCTCAGGATAGAGATTCGGATTGCTCAGTGTTAGCATCTGCCCTGTTTTTTAAATTTCACTCCGCAGTGACACCTGACATTAAGTATCGTTTTGTATTAGCTTCAGGTGTACAGCATGGTAATTAGACAGTTGTGTAATTTACCAAGTGGTCCCCCTGGCACCACACACCGTTATTACAATATTATTGACTGTATTCCCTGGGCTGAGCTTCACAGCCCTGTGACTATTCCGTACCTGCCAATTTGTGAAGAGGCCTCCCCCCTCTTTTGAGCTTCGGTGTGTCCAAAACTCGGTGCACAGGGAACCATGCAGACCTCCACGCACGACCTTTGTGCTCTGGGACTAAACTGCTCTTGGTCTGAAGACTCTGCAGAGGACGGGTGTTGCTCCTTCTTGGTTTCTGCTAGATCGCCCTGGGTTTCTCATTCCACATCGTGCGGCACAGCTATGGGGCCTCTATTCCCCCTTTCATTTAAGCAAAGCCTGTCCAATAGCTGCCTCAGCCACCGTGTTGGGACAGCAGGAGTTGTAATTTTCTTACATGCATGTTGATCTTGCCTTCATGTTCACGATTTCCCTTCTCAGTATTCAGACTGATCTTCCGAGATGAAGGTAACTTGCACGTGAACAGTAATTAGCTGGAGTAAACATCATCCAAATTCAGATCAGAAAAGCCGTGACTCTTGGTACAATACACAGAACGACGACTGTCCTCTGTGTTTCTTGGAAGCTGGGGTGCATGTGTTCACACGTGCGTTTATGTTTGGGGAGCGTGTTCTACAGGATCAGCACACACTGCACACCCACGCCGTAGTCTAGGTGAGGGCGCATCCCCGAGAGGAGGTGTATGAAGCCAGGAGGCCCGATTCCGGGGTGCAGATGGCTCTTGGTGCTCAGTGAAGGGGCTGACCCCAGTGATTTCTGGGGACTTGCCTCCCACGGCAGCCATCTTGTGCTGACATCTGTGGAGCACCCACTAGGTGCCAGGTTCTGTGCCAGGAGTGAAGGCGATGAGGAATAGACTTCCTTGCCATCAAAGCTCACAGTCCCCTGGGGGGAGGGGACATCGCTACAGAGTCTCTTTCAAAGGAAGAATGGCAGCTCAGGCAGTTCAGTCAAGGCCTTGAACTTGTCGCTGTACCCACGAGCCCCGAGAGACCCACTGCAGGCGAGGTGGGTTGTGTCCCCAAATGCGATGTTCCGTACTCTCATCTCCCGGGGTCTGCGCAGCAGGGCGGAAGGGAGGAGGGGCTGGCAGAGCAGGGCTGGCTGTCTCAGTCCCTCGGGTGCTGGACATCGGGGGCTGCTGCTAGTGTGGGAGAGAGGAGGCCTCCCTAGGAGCTGGAGTGACCCAAAGCCCAGTCCCTGTGACTTGTCCACAAAGTCCTTTCCGGGCGGCTGCTCCTTTCAGGTGGGGCGATGGGTTTACGTTCATGGTGCCCTGAAGGCATCATGAGACCCTTATTTCAGGACAAATGTTGGAGGAGCGAACGCCGCTTCCGTATTTTAGAAGGAGCCTCCTGTAGCCCATTCTCACGGTCCAGGCTCCACCAGCAGCAGCGGCAGCCGCTCCAAGCTCTCACTTGTCACCAGTTACACTCATCACACTGGAAACCCCAGTCCCTGACAACACGCCATTGAAAGCAGTGCTTCAAAGTCATTTGTTTGCAATTATCTGGCTTACTAAAATTACCTCCTGCAACTAATCACCTGGGGGAGCAGTAGACAGTTTCTTTACCAGGGAGAACTGGCCGTTTAAAAAGGACAGGAACATAAACAGCTAATAGTTTTTAAATCTATTAGAGATGCTGATAGAGATCGTGCTTAGGCTGTTTTGCCTTGTCCCTGATCCTGCTTGGGGTGTCTGGGAGGGCATCGTGTGGCCAGGGTTTGCAGCAACCTGGAGGAAGGTGGTGCACAGTGTTTAGAAACAAGGAACGGGGAGAACAGAGCTCAGGTTGTGTGTCTTTTGTGGGAGGATCCTTTGGTTGGCAAAGCGAACTCCAGTTAGTGGGGTGAGGGAGAATTGAATTTCCACTTGCCTACTGCTCTTTGGCAAATGCAGGTAGATTCTCCAAGAAAATTCCATCTGGGGGATGATAATACCCATCACAAAGCTGATGCAAAGAGCAGAAATTACATGTGTGTTTGTGAAGCATGGCTAGTGCCTGTGAATGGCAAGGAAGGCCAAGTGCAAAGTGAAGATGACGGTGGTAAAATACAAATGTGTAACTGATACCACTTTAGAGCATCTCAGCCTCCCAGCAACGCTGGCAACCGGCGACGGGTGTTAAGAAACGCCAGTTTGCGTCTGTGTTCCCCTTAGTCATCGGTTTGGCTCACTGATCCCAGGCCGCTTTGCTTGCTGTTCTTTTTGTAGAAAACCCTGACTTCACGAAAGCTTCCCTGTGGGGGGCACTGGAACATATGTGGTTATTAAACTGATCAGAAACGGGATTGGATCCAAAGTCGTGGTTTTATTAATCAAGGTGATTTACAAAGCTAGGCAGGCCAGAACACATAGTTATTGGGAAAGATTACATCAGTATTTTTTATCGCTCCTACAGCTGAAAAATCATTCTTCCCAAACAAACATGTATGGGTGTAATACTTCAAAGGTCTGATCAGTGTTGCCAATTTTCCATTTATTATTTAATACTTTTTAAACCTTTTTTTTTCTAGTGTAAGAATAATGTATGTTTACATTACATACATTAATGTATGTAGGTTATAATGCTGATCTATACATTAAAATATATAGAGAGAAGTAAATAGCAATCACAATCTCTCTAGCCAGATGCAACTCTTGTTGAAATGCTGATGTGATCCTTTTTTCATTTGGTTACCTGCACATTTAGACGCCACAGCGGAATCATCGCCCTGCTGCACATTCTGTTTTCAGCTCTTCGATACGGTGAAGATGCAGGTTCAGAGTCTCTGCGCCTGCCTCTGATTATTTGTCTAGGATAAATTTCTACACTTGGAATTATTTCGTCAAAGTAAATGAAAAAAAATTTAAAGCTTGATATCTATTAGCAACTTTTTCTCAGAAAGTTTTTTTAAGCCTATGTTCCCTCCCAGTAGTAGTATAGTGAGAATACCTGTTTTCCTATATTTTCCCCTTTCCTATTTCCTATTAAGATGGTAATGTTTTTATTATTGATTTATAATAGCTGTTTACATATTAAGGATAGTAATTCTTCAGGTGACAAAATGTCTTGCAATTTCTGGCCTACCCATTTACTATATGCTTTTTAACTTTGTTTCTTTTTTTTTAATACATCCTATTTCTATTTTACTAGACATTACCATTATATTTTTATTGCGATATGTTTCAATAAATGTAAATACTAAATAGTGTGTAGTGACACTTCTCACAAATGCTGAGTTTAGTAAATTTTTACTTATTTTCTTCATATCCACTAATTTTTATTGAAATAGTATGAAATTTTCAATCTAGGTGACTATAAGCAAACTGTTATCTTATAATTAACTTATGATTTAATATTGTTATTAATATTTGCATCAAGTTTTATTTCTAGCTTGGCAATAATTATTTTTAAACACTAAGGTTTACTAGTTTTATTGAACAGTGTATTTTCCTCATTCTTAAGTTTTTAATATTGAATTTTTCTGTCATCTGGAGCACGTCTTTGGCTACTACTTTCAGAAGGGGGCTGGGGATACCTCCTGTGTCCTTAGATTTCTGGAAGTATCTTTCTGTTGTCATTGTACATAGCTGAGAGTTCAAAACTCATATAGTATTTTGGTTATTTTTTCAGTAAGTAGTTTCTCTCTGTTTGTAAATAGTTTAGTCATTTCAGAAAATGATACCAAGGGATAAGTAGCCCCATACTGCTTTAACCAAGCACCTATAGCATCATTATCCAGGAAGGCAAATTGAATGAAGAAATCAATGTATCTCTCCGAAACTGCGCGGACGTTCAGCGCGGGATGGAAGAAGCTCTTGGGAGGATTGTGATTTATGGATGCGGAGGGCTCTGCCCCACTTGAACTCTTTAGCTGGTTGCATCTGGCAACTTCAGAAGGAGTCACATCCCTGACTGTCTGAACTGGGATTGACCTACACGTTGGCTTTCTGCTAGCCAGGAGCCTGGGGGTGCCAAGGATGTCAAGTCTAACACCCACAAATTTAATTCTCTGCGCCTGTGCCATTGCAGAGACCTGTTAGCACATAGAAATTAATTGTGCTACGCCGACTCTTTCTCACTGGAGAACAATTTTATGTATATTAATAATTTCACCCTGAAAATATAAGGGAATCTGATTACAGTGGAACACACCTGTCTCCTGTTGATTTAATTTCTTTTTTCATACTGAAGTGTACGCTTGTTTCTGTCTACTTCAGAGTGAGTGGCATCACTCTGAGTGCTGATGGCCGATCACGCTAACATCAGACATTGCAGAAATAAGCGGAAGAGGAGGAAGTGAGGGGTGAGGCGGAGCCGCCCTCGTGGAACGAGACTGCTGCAGGGAAGGGAATCCTGTAGTTGATTTTGATGTCATGAGGGCCACCGTTTGTTAATTTAAATATTAATTGCCTGCTGTCAGCTGTCGTTAAGCAAAAAACAGATTTGTTTCTGAAATGTGCCCCCTGTCCAGTTTTCATATTTTTGCTAGATTTCCCGGAGAAAATTGGTCTGACTCAGTTGTCAAGTGACTTTCTCTTGCTCAGATAGTATTGGATGCTCTTTCGCAGCAAACCAGACTTGAACGTCTTCGGTTTTTAACCATCGTCATGTTTGACTTGGGAGTGTTTTGAATGCCGACAGTGCGCCACAGTTTCAGTGGAGGCTCTGTGAGGGGGTTATACATTATTTTTTATCTTGTGAGTGAGTCCTCCTCCCCCAGCCGCGGTTGCCCCCTCTGCACGGTAAGCACAGACACGTGTTTCCCCACCCCGTGAGTGGGTAAGGAAACCAGTGTACGTCCGGTGGCTAGCCCCGTCAGGACGAGACTTGGCGTGTGCACACTTTCTGTCCTTTACACCGGTCTGGATGGCTGAAGCTAGAATACGGACAAGGCGGGCTCGTTGGCAGAGAGGATGAGTCACACCCACCGTGTACACGTCATCTAGTCAACACACGCTCCGCGAGCATCTGCTGTGTGTCAGCTGCTCTACCCAGCCCTGGGGATTCGGGGTGGAGGTGACATCTGACCTTTGTCCTTGGGGCACTGCGGAAGGACAAGAGGAAGTCTGGATGAGCATTCTAGCAGGTCTTCTGTGGCCTGCGGGCTGCAGAGCATGCCAGCTCACCATCTGCTTCTGCAAGTCCATTCTTCTACTCTGTAGCGTCTGACTACTACAGAAGGCACTACAGACGTCAGAACACATAGTGCACGATACATGCACATAGTTATGTTGTTTGGTAAAGACATCTTTCTTTACCTTTTCATTATAAATTAAAAATACATCCTGTTGGGAAAGTAGAATGTCACAGAATATCACATGGCAATCATTTAAACTTAAATCGCTGCCTGTTGACCCTGATTGTCTGTTAGAATCATCTGGAGAGCTTTTACAATATCCTCGTTTTGCTCTTCTGCCTGCAGAATCTGGTTTGTTTTGTCTGGGGTGAGGCCAGGGCATGGGTTTGGGTGGGCGGATGGGTGAGTCAAGGACAGGATGAATGAAAATCTCATACTGCATTCAGGAGCACATGTGAGCCAGGCCCACGGAAGGGCAGGAGAGGTACAATATTGCTTTATTGCTTATTAGGATTATTACTTTCCCCATCCCCTCTTCTAACCCACTGATTCCAGCAACAACGTAACTATGGTCCAACTTTATTTATTTCTTGAATATAAATGCCATTGTGAAAGGTAAACCCAAAACACCCCAGTAGCAACTTAGGTCATATTAGTGTATTATTGCCAGTGCTAATAGTAGTTTTGGGGCAAAGATGCAATTCTCCTAATGGCGTGACCTCTCTTTATCTTCTCCATGCCTTGCCCGTCTTGCCTGGACACAGAGGAGAAGGCCAAGAAAGAAGCCGAGGAAAAGGCCCGCCTGGCGGCCGAGGAGAAGCAGAAGGAAACGGAAGCCAAGAACCAGGCGGAGGACGGCGCGACGGGCGGGGCTGGGAAGGAGACGTCCGGGGCAGCTCAGGGTCAAGTCAACGGGAAAGGCCCCAACAAAGGTGGCAACTCTCACAGGAAAAACTCCAAAGCGGAGAAGTCGCCGGGAGAAAAGCAACGGAATGGTGAGTGGCACTGCCCCGGGGAAGGGCTCTCGTCGGGGTGTTAATGACGCGGCGAATGGTGAGTGGAGGCTGGTGGACCACCGTGCCTGCTGAGGTGGATAGCTCACAGGGCGGGGCTTCCTCCGAGTCCAGCTGATGCTGGCCCCTCCTCCCTGGGCTGTGGATCCGTCATCATCACCCAGTCGGGAGCAGCCTGGGCCATTCTCGCTGGGGGAGATGTATTCCTTTGGGGCCCTTCCCTGTTGTTCTGGAGACTGACCAGTGCCTGTGTGCCCACTGGGGAAATGACTACAAATGATCCCAGGCCAGAGAGGGTGACTGGAAGGTCAGTGTCCCATGTCCACCCTCCCCTAGCAGGGTGGGCCTCAGTCTGCCGATGGCTTATTCCTATACCAAACATCCATGTATCTGCAGCTGAATTAGGGTACGCACTGGGGGAACTGGCCACCCCACTTTTCCTGGGAGTGAGGGGCTTCCTGGAATATAGGGCTTTCGGTTGTAAAACTGGAACAGTCTCGGGCAAACCGGGGTGTGCAAACAGTTGCTGGTTCCTTTGATTTAATGCAGTGAGTGTTTGTTGAGTAACAACTGTGCACCAGGCGCTGTGCTGGGCACTGGGGATTTAGAAATGGAAAAGCCACCAGAAGTCCTTGATTTCATAGGGGATGTAGACATTCTTGGAGGTCATTCCAGGACACCGCGAGCAAGGGACAGTGGTGGCATTGCTGACGAGTGCCAAGGGATGCGTAGAAAGAGACATGGGCGCTACAGGATTAGAGGATTGTGGGACTGAGTAAATATCAGGAAGGCTTCAAGAGAAGGTGATGTCCGAGCTGCGTCTTGAAGTCCTGAAGTCTTCTGGTCAGATGGGACACGGGACCCCCCCCCCGCCCAGCTAAAGACACAGGGGCATGGAAGGGGTTCCCTTGTCTGGGGAAGGGCAGGAAGTTCGGTCTCCGGAGCTTCCCGGTGTTGGGTTGAGGCAGCAGAGTTTCGCAGTGAAACAGACTCGCCTGGATTCAAGTCCTAGCTGTGCCTCTCACTGCTCGGTGGCCTCGGCTGGGCTCCTTAGCCTTCCGCTCTCTCTGCAAGTTGTACACGGGCCACTTGTGAGCTTGAAATAACAATGACAGCCAAACGACGACAGTAGAATAAATAGCGTTTATTAACTCTACACCAGGGGCGATTTCAAGTTCTCTCCTTACACAGTCGTTCTCTTACCTGCCTGCTGGGGCCGGGGCCTCCAGCTACTGCTCTGTGCAGCCTGGGTAAACGGTTAATATGTACAAAGTGCTCAGCACAACTCTCTTCAATTATTTTTCCAATTAACATATAGAAATGTGTAATCAGGAAACAATATTTTAATGCCTGTATTACTGACAATATCCCATGTCAAGTTCCAAGGATGTTGCATAAATCGCCTCAGGTAACCCCCATGACCTCCGTAGGCATCAAGGATGGCAGCCTGGTTCCAGAAACTGCTTGTAGCTACTTTGCTTTGTACTTAGGTGCATCATAGTCCAGAAACTATGCTCAGTTTAATAAGCATTTATGATACCCCTGTTGGAGTTTTAGGGAGCTCTGTGGAATATTTCTTCCCCTCCCTGGGTCAGAATCAGCCAACAGAGGCACCAGACTCAGAAAGCTGGTGCTCACAGAACTCGGCTCCGCGAGAACTGGAGCTGGGTTGGAAAACGTGGGCTCAGTCTGCTGAGCGCACGGACTTCCTCAGACATCCGCTCCGAACTGGGCTTGGCCACCCAGACCTTGGCAGGGCAGGGCAGGGCAGGCGGACTCAGGACACACCCTCCACCCCACTCTCACCCAGCACCCAGCAGGCTGCTTCTGGAGTGGCAGAAAGGGTGCATGCCCCATGGAAAGCACGCTTCCAAGGGGCGGGAGCTGGACAAATGGGGGCGCGGCCGAGCTGTGCAAGCCGCTCCTGCTTCTGGGTGAGTCTGTCCTTCACACAGGAGGAGCAGAGGAGGCTGGCGAGAGAGGCAAGACGTGTTCCGCCTCTACTTTGTTTATTTTCGGAGCATGGGCTAAATATGTCTTTCCCGTAGTAAAATCAGTCGTTATAGTATCGCTCACATTTAATGAATGCTTACCACATGCCAGACATTGCTCGGGGGAGATTTCATGTGCAGTAAATCATTTAAAAATCCTGACCGTGCTGTGCAGTATGTACAATCTTTCCCATGGATTTTTTTTTTAATTTTGTTTTTTTGCAGGTGAGGAAACTGAGATTCAGCGAGGTTAGATCACTTGCTTAAGGTCACGCAACCAGTAAGAAGGGCGTTCAGGTCCCACTCGGGTCTATGTGAGCCCCAGGACTGTGTTCCACGCTCAGCCTGTCCCTGCGGCTGCACGTCTCGGTGCTGCTGGGGAGAGTGAGAAATGGGCGAGCTCTCGGGGCTCAGCGGCTGTCCCCAGGACCCCCGTCATCCGTCTGTTCCCGGGGTCAGCGCCCTCTTCCTGTACAGGGCCGACAGGAAATGTTTCAGCCTTCGCAGGCCCCACGGTCTCCGTGGCAGCCGCTCAGTGCTTCTGTCCCAGTGTGAATGCAGCCCCATGTCATACACAAGCATTTAATGTTCCCATAAAACTTTATGAAAATCGAAGTTTGACTTCTATATAATTTCATATGTTGTGACATATTCTTCTTTCTTCCCCATAACCACTTAAAAATGGTAAAAACCATTCTTAGTTTCTGGGCCTCATGAAACGAGGCCAGGTTCGGCCCACGGGCTGTGGTTTGCCAGCCCTGGTCCGGGCAGGGAGAGAAGCCAATGGACACGAACCTCCAGGTCACAAAGAGGCCGTGGATTCCACGAGAGGGGGATGAGCGAATACCCAGAGGGGGCAGTGATTGATTCTGAAGGTGGTTGGGGGGCCTGAAAGGAACTAAGCAGGGGCCAGGTGAATTTCACAACTGTGTACAGTCCCCAAAGTGAGCGAAAGTCCACCATTTCCCTTAAAAATTAAGTATAAAAGGAGAGGTGGGAAAAGAAATCAATTTAGAGCAATAATCAGCAAGGCTGGTGGTGGTGCAGGCCTGTGCTACAGCAGCCTAATTAAGATGATTTATAAGGGCACAGGAAGGCTGTTTTGTTTGCCCTGCTTATTGAGGAACAACTCACATTGGCCATCATTGCATATACAACCCTTGGGAAACCACCTAATGGGTTTCGTTCGAGGAACGTCATAAAACAAGTGTGAGTCACTTTCCCGGCACCCTCCTTTGTGGCCGCCCAAGATATTCCAGGTTAGAGCTGAGGGACACTGGTCCAGTGGGGTCCTAGGGGTTTGGTCCCCCAGCAGCAATTATGGGATCTCCTAAGCTTTGGTCTCCCTCGGGGCCTATCCCTGCCTTGGAGCCCCCAGCCCTGACTGAGGGGAAGGTGGGCTGCTGCGCGGGCTGCTGGCTAGCATCTGGCAGGTTGAACCACTCCTGCTGGAAAACACCCTGACCTTGCCACAGCCGTGGGTAAAGCTGCAGTCCTGGGCGACCTGGAAGGCTTAACGCAGAGTGCTTTAGGGGTCTGAAGGCTCATTTAGTCCAGAAAGGTCATTTTCCTGCAGGGAATTAGTTTGACTACAAGGCTCAAGACTCTCGAGTCCATCCCTCCTTCCTTATAATAGGGACGAGCAAGTATACGGCCTGTGTCATTGTACCTCGGGGGGAATTCATCTCTTTCGACCATTGGTGGTGGTAGAAGGTAATGACCACATCCTTTCTCTGAACTCCCCCTGCTTGTGCCCTGCGCTTCCTCTCCATGCCTCCAGCCAGTGCCTCCCGTTTCAGAATGAAGAATAAGAGGAAGTAGAGGGTTTATCGGCTTCTAACTTAGCTTACGATTTGTCACATTTCATTAAAAGTACTTGTTTTGTAGAATATACCTCAGCCAAAAGTGGTCTTGAATTCGCCTTAGATAACCATTTATAAATCTGAAGGCCAAAGGCATTTGGAAATGGCAACATCAACACAAGCTTGAAATCTAGATCTGGAGCGTCATCGGGAAGCTGCAGAATGCAGCCGCTGGGAGCCCGGCCTGCAGAGTCAGACCCACCTGCGTGTGTCGTGGTGCATGGCTCTGTTCACGCTGTGGCCTCCATTGCCATACGGTGGAGATGATGGGAGTTTCACATCAGTTATTTTTTATTATTATTTTATTGTTCAGTTATAGTTGTCTGCATTTTCCCCCACCACTCCCCCCGACCCCAACCAAACCCACCTCCCTCCCTTGCTTCCACCCACCCCCCTCCTTGGTTTTGTCCATGTGAACTGTATAGTAGTTCCTGAAAACCCTTCCCCCATTATCCCCTCCCACCTCCCCTCTGGTGACTGTCAGATTGTTCTTAATTTCAATGTCTCTGGATGTATTTTGCTTGCTTGCTTGTTTTGTTGATTAGGTTCCACTTAGAGGTGAGATCATATGGTATTTGTCCCTTACCGCCTGACTTATTTCACTTAGCATAATGCTCTCCAGCTCCATCCATGCTGTCGCAAAGAGTAGGAGCTCTTTCTCTCTACTGTGTAGTATTCCATTGTGTAAATGTGCCACGGTTTTTTTATCCACTCATTTACTGATGGGCACTTAAGTTGCTTCCAGCACTTGGCTATTGTAAATTGTGCTGCTATGAACAATGGGGTACATAGGTTCTTTTGGACTGGTGTTTCAGGGTTCTTAGGATATAATCCCAACAGTGGAATTGCTGGGTTGAAAGGCAGACCCACTTTTAGTTTTCTGAGGAAATCCCATGCTGTTTTCCACAGTGGCTACACCAGTCCGCATTCCCACCAGCAGTGCGCTAGGGTTCCCTTTTCTTCAAAACCTCTCCAACACTTGTTTGTTGTTTTGTTTATGATGGCCATTCTGACCGGTGTGAAGTAGTATCTCACTGTGGTTTTAATTTGCATGTTAATTCTTTACAAGTTGATTTAAGCAAAATCACTTTGTAGAAAGATCAATTGGCCATTTGTCCAAAACTGTTGGACAAATGTCAGGTTTACAGTAGACGAGAGGAGCAGCGTCACTGCCAGGGGGAGACCCACATGCAAGGTCACGGGCAGAGGTGAGGTAGTGTGTGAAGTGCTGGCAGGCGGGCGGTCACTGCCCTCAGCACGTGGACTGACCAGTGTGTGACAGGGTGGCTGTGGCGGAGGGAAAACTCAAGCTTGAAAAACATCCTCAGTCATTCGGTGAGTTTGTGATTGAGCAGACTGATCATTTAGTGAGTTAAACATGAATGGTTCTGCCTCCTTGCAATAACAGTGCCTTCATAATGGGCTTGTTATGAGATTGGATGGAGTGATGCTTACAAAGCATTCAGCACACTGCCTGGCACAAAGAAAACAAAACAGATCGATACATCTGGGGCCCTGCTTGCTCCTGTCTGGTTGCAATTATTATTAGGTTCTTTTTGCTTCAGTAAGTACCAGCATTTTAGTGGTCACGTATCCTTGGTTTTATTTAGGCTAAAAAGAAAGCTGTTAGTACTTGGTAAGAAGAACATCCAAAATTGGAAGGAATAATGCTGGGGACAGGGTGCCATCCTTTTCAGGGCCCCGCTGGCGTACTGTCGAGCAGACCTTCCCAGGGAGTATTCATCGTGGGTTTGTGTGTCTCCTGTGCAGCTACCCAGCTCCACCCCTGCGGTGCGAAAGCAGCCATCGGCAATACACAAGTGAATCGGGGTGGCCATGTTCCAGTAAAACCCTATTTCCAAAAACAGAGAGCAGGCCCGATATGCTCAGGGCCCATAATTTGCTGACCCCTATTCTAGGACAACGTGACTTTGTTTCACTTTGTCACTTACTATTTGATTCAAGCCCAGGTACTGTGAAGCTGTATGCTAATCTGTAGATTTTTGGCTGGTAGAGGAGATAACCCCAAAGGTTATGGTTTTATGGACTCGTAGGACATAACCAGGTTTGTCTCTAACCTAGCAATCTTATTTTAACGTAATTCTAAAATACCTATAAATACCCAGTTCCTTAAATACTTCTGGAACCTTCCTTACTATCTGATTCATTCCCTCATAAGTTTAAATTTTTTTTCCATTTTCATTCAGTTTTTGTACGCATTGTGTTTTTTAACTTTTACAAATTACATTTCGACAAACTCCTTAATTAGAATGGCATTTACAACTGTTTTAGAACAATAACAACTGTCATCGAGTGATGTCAGATGTCACCACACTCAACACTTGAAATGTGTTTGTATGTTTTCACACCTACAAAGTGGACACTAACACTCCTGCAGATACGGAGACTGAGGCACATGAAAGTTAAAAAGCCGTTAACTGCCGTAACTCACACTTAACCCAGGCTTCTCCTCACTCCGCACAGCCTGACAACAAAGTAGAATTGCCTTCTTGAGGATAAACACCGTTGACTAAACTACAGCCCTGGTTAACAGGAACTTGCAACCCTAATTTCCAGGACCTAGTCTGTGGTTTGGAGGGTATTTACACTCAGACCTGTGCCCCCTCGTGACTCAAAGGATGCTGCACTTTTTTCCTTTTTTTTTTTTATCTTGACAGGTTTAAGGATATTTATGATTCCCTCCTTAGGGGTCTACATATTCTGTTTTTGTCATGTTTCACTTGTAGGTGACTTGAAAGACGGTAAAAATAAGGCAGACAAGAAGGATCAGTCCAACGTCGGGAATGACTCAAAGAAAACAGACGGTAAGGGCGTAATTCTCATTTCGTTTTCCATAAATGTGCCATTTAATGCCAGCTTGTTAGACTTGTACCTGAAATTGAAGTTGTGGTTGTTAATATGTCCTTATATTATACCCTGCAAAAACACTATATTTAAGGAGCACTGTTATTCCTTTTCCAATAATTTACAAATTATTGTTGCATCTCTTCCTCTCCACCATACTTTCTCCATCCCAAATGCATTCTATACTATCTTTTCCCATTGCCATTCTTCCCTGTCAACTTTATGAAAGGTTGGTTGTGGACTTGCTGATTATAATGGAATGGCACGTGAGTCTCTGATCGTAAATGGTGCAGTATAAAGGAGCAATGCTCCATGTTTTCAGCTTCTTCATTTTTTTTAACCTTCAATAAGTTATTACTGTTGGCAGAACCAAGCACAGGAGTGTGCTGCTCGGTGTTTTCCTCATGTCCGGGGCCCACGCACTGACAAAGGGGCACAGCTGTAGAGCACTGGGTGGCACCCCCGAACCAGTTAGAACCAGAACCAGTTAGAACCGCCTGGTGATGTGCTTCATGAGCACCTTGGCCGACAACATCCCACTCCTTCTCAGCCCTGAGAGGTCAAAGGATATTACCCTCCAGACTTTGAACTGTCACCCAGACTCTCAGGGTCTCCCTGGAGACCCTGCAGGAGATGCTACGCTGTCCTCTTTGCCCAGTTTGGTGAGAATGCCATCGAGGAACCGGTGCTGGTCGTCAGGTTGAGGTGTAGGAAGACATTCGAACACAGCTTCTCACACACAGTCATATGCAGGAAATTAGTCTCAAAAATGTTTTCTAAGACCATTCAAATAATTCAGTCCAGTGTCTTATCACAGACTATCTGGAGAGCACATGTGGGTAATTTTTTGCCAAGTTTTGCCAACGAAAACCTCTTACCTAGTAAACATACCATCCTTCCATGACTGTGACTAAGGCATGTGACTAATTACATGGAGAAAATATAGAATCCTCTTACCAGACTCTGTAGGGGTGAAGTTTGTTCAAGTACCAGAGACTCTGTGCTGTATATCATTAGCTCCCAGGCAAGGCAACGCAAACCAGAAAGTGCAGAGCAGTGAACGGTGTTAGCTCTAAGCATGTCACCGGAAAACCCCGCCCATCCGGTGCCCAGCACCTGGCCCACCTGGATTCCTACAGTGAAAAGCCCAAACAAAATAAGCCAAGTCCCAGATCTTTAATATGGAGTCTTGAATTTTGTTACATTTTTGTATTGTGCTACAAATATCCATTAGAATGTTGTCATGTGGGCATTGGGATTGAATTTTATTATCTTCCTTAAGCGCTCTTATTTCACCTGTGCCCTTTTTAGCCACATTGCTTCCAAGTATTTAAAATAATTACGCAGGGTTTTTGTGTGTGTGTGTTGTGGGGGGAGGGTGATGGATGTTATGTTCCATTATACAAGTAAGTATAAGGCCTGATTGTTTAGTGAGCTGGATTCTTGTTTCCATGGGGCGGTGAACAGCAGCAGTAAATAGAGAAGAGACATTTGCTGACATCTGTCCATCTTTCTCTTTGTAACTGCACCCTTCCACTGCTTCAGATGGGGTCTGGTGTGTTCATACACTTTCAAGTTTGTGCCCAGACTAGGGTGTGAACAACTTCATATTTTAATTACATTGATGGACTAAGGTGACGTCAGCCATTGTCACTGCTTTGGTACCATCAATACTGGGATCACTGAGCTTTAGTTGCTGTAGTCTTAGCCCAGAATCTTTACCAGCACTAAAGCTAATTCCTGGTGGCATGAACTAGCAAAGAATCTGATGCAGTCTTGTGTACCCCTTCCCCCTTGGTCATCAAAGCAATCTGCTTTGGAATGTTTTAAATGGTATGTGGGTTAGTAGATGTATTCACTTTTAAAAACTCTCTAGTAAGAACTAGATACATTTTGAATATTCTTTTTTTAATAGGCCCTATTATATGTGATGACCATGGGGGTCAATTTAACTATCTCTACTCCCCGAGCCCTGACCCAACCCCTGGGAACCAATGGTGACCAGCTCTAATTTTTGAGAGGGTGTACCCAAGCACAGTTCAGTGCCCAGTGTGATCAAACCCACTGGGGTCTGAAGGTTCAACATTGTATGCATTTAGAAAGAAAATCAGTGGAAAGTGGACCAGAGCCCATGATTCGCCAACTCCAATGAGCGGAGTCCCTGCAGACAGGGAGGGGCATGTGCTGAAGGGTAAACGACATCCTGGCTTTGTGAGCACGGTGCACGCGTGTGTCGCCTCTGTCAGGCGACTGCAGCACTAACTGTCTGACCGACTGCAAAGAATGAATGAAACGTCTGATGAGGGGTTAATTTCCAAAATTTATAAAGAATTTGTATAACTCAACACCAAGAGAACAAACAATCTGTCTAATTAAAAAAAAATGGGCAAAGGACCTGAATAGACACTTCTCTAAAGAGGACATACAGAGGGCCCATAGACACATGAAAAGATGGTCAACATCATTAATCATCAGAGAGATGCAAATTAAAACCGTAATGCAATACCATCTCACACCTGTCAGAATGGCTCTCATCAATACACCCACAAACAAGTGCTGGCGAGGATGTGGAGAAAAGGGAACCCTCGTGCACTCTTGCTGGGAATGTAAATTAGTGCGGCCACTGTGGGAAGCAGTATGGAGATCCCTGAAAAAATTAAAAATGGATCTGCCTTTTGATTCAGGACTTCCACTTCTGGGAGTATATCTGAGAAACCTGAAATACTGATTCAAGAGACTATGTGCACCCTTGTGTTCATAGCAGTATTATTTACAGTAGTCAAGATTTGGAAGCTGCCCAAGTGCCCATCAGTAAATGAGTGGATAAAGACGTTGTGGTGTATTTGCACAATGGAATACTACACAGCCATAGAAAGAAGGAACTCCATGCTTTGTGACAGCTTGGATGGACTGGAGAGTATTATGCGAAGTGAAATAAACCAGTTAGAGAAATAAAAAACCCATATGATTTCACTTATATATGGAATCTAATGAACAAAATGAACTAACAAACAACATAGAAAAAACAGACTCACAGACACAGAGAACAGACTGACAGCTGTCAGAGGCGAGAGGGGTTAGGGGACTAGGTTAAAAGTGACGGGATTAAGCAAAAGAAGAAAGAAAATGCAATTAACAGTATGGTGATTGCCAGGTGGAAAGGGGGAGGGGAGAGAGGGAAGAGGACACAGGAGCGGTCCACGGTGATGGGAGGGGACTTGGCTCGGGCGTTGGGCATCAGTGTGCAGATGGTGTGTTACAGGGCTGTGCACTTGACTCCTCTCTGGTTGTGTTAACCTATCTCACCCCAATAAACTCAGCTAAAAATAATAAGCATCCTTTGAAAATACTTTGCTTACTCTTAGGAAGAAATATACTCACACACAAAGATCTGGGCTTCTGAGAGGATCCCCACCAAGTTAGTTTGAAATGCCGTAAATAAATGGATGTCTTTCTTTCTATAGAATGATGTAACAAGTCATTTAAAAAAAAAACAATTGGGAGAATGTGGTCTGAACCTCTACACCTGGTTTGTGAAAAATAACATTCTTCTTTTTAACTAAAGTTGAAAAATGTTTATTTGCCAAAGTAACATCATGACTTCCGGCCGTGGAGTTGGTGGTGAGTGGCCGATGGGCCTGCGCCGTCCTGGAGCGTGCCCTGCTCTGCAGTTACAGGGAAGACACAGCCAAAAGGCAGGGTGCCGGGAGGACTGAGACTCTCACAACACAGACTGTCCCTGACTTAAGTTCATGTCTAGAGATTTGAGAAGCAACAAACGCACTCACCATTACTCAGGAGGCATGTGTTTGTTGAGGCCACTGTCAGCATCCGCGCCTACGCGGGCACCTGTGGACCGGTATTCTTGTCTCGGGGAGTCGTGCCCACCTCCTTTCTTCCCAACATGCTCCCGCATAGTACTCGGGACAATGGCATTAGGCTGCCTTTATCCACCAGAGTAAAGAACTGCCCTGTTTCAGACCCGTCAAATCCTTGGCCTAGAGTTAATACCTCCTTTTATCTCCTCATTGTTCCAGTCGATGTTGTTTCTTTCCATGACCTTCTTCTTATCACTTACAGCTGATGTTGGCTGTGCAGTGGTCCATGCAGGGCCATGGAACGCTTGGACACAACCATTCATCTTCAGCTCACTCATATTTGAGTCAGTCCATATACACGTGGGGGTGTTACAGGGCATTCTTTATTCCTTTTATGTTTTCCCCAATTTTTTGGAAGATTGATTTGTTTGTAAGCAACTGTCACTATGATTTTAGTCAAACCTATTGGATTCACATATCATAGAGGGCAGTGGTGTTAATGACCATCTTTGTTCAAACTTGTACCCCAAATTGTGTTGTATAAGCTACACATAAGACAGTTTAGTGATAGGAGAGATTATGGAATCTTGAGAATTCTTGACACAGGAATTTTGAAGTGAAATCCACTTCATGGCTCCTCATTTTGTTCTGTACGGAAGAACTGTCTTGTCTGGGGAACGATGCAATCCCTTCAGCTAGAGCATTCAAAACATATGTGATAACAGAAAGAGGGGCCTGCTGATGAGCAAGAAGGCCTCTCTGCACGTTGGCAGATGAAGGAATTCCGTACTGATGGTAACTGGAGGGTTGCTTATGTGGCGGGAGACTTGCTGACACGAGCGAGAATCCTGATGACCAGTGTGTGGCTGGGGCTGCCCACTCACTGATGTGCAGTGTGAAAGAGATCCTCCATGTACACAGTAATGCTCCCGCCAACTGGCCAGTCGGTGGTTTCTTTCTCCTGAAGGAAAACCTACCTGGGAAGCCAAATCATAGGAGGAGGTTGCTTGGCCAGCTGAGCATGTGAGGGGAGCTGGTTGGTGAATTGTTACTTCAAGGTAGAATACCCTGACGTGTCGTTGTGCAGCACTGGGGTAGACCTGCCAGGAAGGATGGGTGGGGCACAGCCTAGGTCCTGAGTC